ATCACAGAAGGTTTGTGCTTTGCTTACATGTTTTTAAAAGAACACACAATCCCAATAAAGACGTTTGTAAATCCATAAAGCTCTTCCCCTGTTTATTTTCTACTGTGATATGAAACATGAAACCAGATATGAAAATTCCTTTCCAAAGTAGCAAATACAAATTCTAACAGGTATCCAGAGTCAAGTGAACATGAATCAATTCAAAAGTATCCTTAGAAATATTACGTTAAGTGGAAAATCGAGTCACTGTTATCTTTTTTCAAAGTATGTTTCCTTTGCACCAAACCACAAACTGAACCATTTTGTCCCAGAGCAGAGAGTTTATGGTCGTTAGGTATTTGTTAAAAGTTGAACTTCCAAGAACTAAAGGAAATCAGAAAGAAGCACCTTAAACCTGAGAGATACGGCTCTTTGGAACAGGCTACCAGGTGAGTAACACATGTTTAAATTAGAACATGACGTAATGAAGTTAAAGCTGTTGATGATGTAATCCAAAAAAGAGGATGATGATGGCACTGGAAAAGAATTGTTTAAGTTGATGTGAACTGCTAAACTAAAGAGTGCAATCATACAAATATTTTTAAACAGTTCTCCAAGATTAATATCCAAGTATGATCATATTATTTGAAATACATTCTATTCTATGCAAATGTATGGGATTGTTATTGTGATACCAAAATACATTTTAAAAGAATCGGTGTACTCCCACTACACCAACCGCCACCCGGCTGACGCTGCCTTACAGTGACCCTTCCCTGTCTTTCTGAGGCTGTAAATCTTTATGTGAGACCACTCTTCTTCATCTCTAGGAGCATCAAGTAGATTCAAACTGATAAACTTTCAGTTTGCAGCCTGATATATTACTACTACTCTAGCACCAGGGTTGTTCTTACGTTTGAGTAGCTCCAGGCAAAGATGTCAAGCTGAAGGCATGTGTTAATGCAGGGCGCCCTGAAGCTAGTTGTAACCTCCTGTTTTCAACTGTACAAATTATTGGACTGAGAGAAAAAGAAAATCAAAACACTCCAACACGGAAAACAAAACTTCTCATGATTTAAAAAAAGAGGAACCCTGTTAGGAGCCTGTTCTGACTCGATGGCAATGAGGTTTGGGTTTAGCTTTTTCATTGCTGTTTTGGGTTTTTATCAAAACCCTGCAGGCTTTTGAATTCTACATTTTCACATGCTAAGTATTATAAAATACCTCCTAGAGTCTGGAGCAACATCCTATGTTTAAACTCTCTCAGGTTTCTTCCAGTGAACTTAATGCACAGCCATACGAACCAGGACAGAGAAACCGTCAGCCGGTATCAATCTCAGGCAGATTTTGCCACCCAATCGACAAGAACACCAAATTCCCAACTTAGTCCCAAACTTTCCAGGCCTGTGACATCTCTTGATGGGGACGCTCCTTTCCTGACACTACAAATACCAATACCTCTCTACAATTTTGCTCTTACTCTGCACTTCAGCTAGCTGCGTGAGGAGTCAAATCTCACAATAAAAGGGACCCCTGAAATTGGCTCAGGTGTCTGAGGACCCCGTTTTCTCTGGGAAACCCTGAAGAATGGACATGAAAATAACTAGATATTATCTTGGACTAGACCTTAATATAGACCAGCAGAAACTGCCCCAAATTGGAGGAAATATTGAGGAAAGCCTAAGATTGAGCAAATTCTGTATCTGAATGGAACTGCTTTGGGTAGATGAAGAATACAACCATTATTCTATTGCTGCATCTGTTCTCTGTGACTCAACATAATTAGTGAACTCAGTCAAGTCTCTGCAGATCCTCCACTGGCATTCCAAGGCTGCCCATCTTTCCAAGAGGCCCGTCCTTCTCCCAAAGAGCTGCTGGTGGAGTCCAACTCATGGTCTTTTGGTTAGTAGATCAATGTATAACTCAGTAGTCCACTAGGGCACCACAGCTTGTGAACTAGCACTGTGTAAATCTGGAACACTCATGAAATCATGAGTTAGCTGCCCGTCAACACTAGCAAGGCCGTTTCACTCAACCTGTATCTGTTTCTTCTCCATTGATCAGTGTAAAATACACTACTCCGTGGAGGACAGGCCTAGAGATCCAATCCAGAAGGATACAGCTGTGAAAACCCTACAGAGCCGTTAAATATGTTGTTTTTACAAAAAAGTTCCTTCAAAAGCAGAGGTCTTTTTTCATCAAGGTGAACTGGAAGATTCTACAATTTATGCAAATAAAGGGAGGTGCTGCAAATTTATGCAAATAAAGGGAGCTAGCTCTCTGGTGGCCTCATGGTAAGGAGCTGTTCTGCCCACCCAAAGGCGTGTGAGTTCACAGGGGAGAGACGGACCCTCTCCTCTGGTGCGATTTACTGCCTCGGAAAACGTGGAGGGTCAACTACATGTCAGTTCTGCCTCGATGGCACATAACCACCTCCTTAAATCAGGATGCTTACAATGAACAGAGGGTTCTGGTGGCTTAGTGGTAAAGAACTGTACTGCTGATCCAAAAGGAAGTGGTTTGAATCCACCAGCTGCTTTGCAGAAAGAAGCTATCAGTTCTCGTGTGATTTACTAGCTGTGAAAACTTGGTTTTGGGTCAGCTATGAGTTGGTGTCGACTCTTCAACACAATAATGAATAGGATGAAGTAGGTAGTCTTGGCTGAAACTCAACACACTGTGAATACCTTTAACAGATGTGGTCACAGGATCTGGAACAGGCTCTGGGGCAGCACAGGGCGTCCCAGGGCTACCGTTAAGAGTGATGAGCTCGTTCCTGAACGAGTGGAGCGAGGATAATGTCTGCTGAGCCCGACAGAGCGGTAAAGGAGCGGGGTTCTTGTTCTATTTTAAAAATAAGATCATTTTCTATTCAAAGTCGGCCTTGCTTTATCTTTTTTCATTGAGTAAAATTTAAGTCTACCATCTTTGGCTTATGCCCCTCACCGACCACTGGGCGTCCTGTGGTGGTCTGCACATTGCTGTGATGCTGCAGCCTGAGTCATGCCATTCCAAATACTCACCATGATACAGCAGAGATTCCAAGGAAGACCCACTACGAAGAAAGATTTGGTGATCTGCTTCAATAAATAGTAACTGACCAGTGAAAACCCACGGACTAGCAGTCCAACACTGATCCAGGGCTGAAGACGAGCGTCTCAGGTTGGAAGTACTTGGAATATGGCAGGAAGAGCCGACTTCTCAAGGCAGATATTGGCTATAAAGATAGATGAGAGCTTTGAGAGCCTTCGCTTGTTGCTGTGAAACAATTCAAAATGAGAAGAGCTGCTAAACCCCTCAGTAATTAGAACACAGAATGCACAAGTATGAAATCCAGGAAACGGGGACGTTATCAGATGAAGAAGAATGATCGGGAGCTGCCGTGAACTGGTGATGGCGGTCTGTGCTGGACGATCTCTTGCTCTATGCTGCAGGGATGACAAGCAAAGAGGAACGGCACTGCATTCACCGCCAAAGAGAACATGTCAAGGCCAATTCGGAGACACAGTGCTGTCACTGGCAGGATGATACCTACACGTGTACACGGAAGACCAGTTCACGTGCAAGAACTCAAGTGTGTGCACAAGTCACTAATACCAAAGATGAGAAATCGAGACTTTTTAATTTTTATTTTTTTTAAGCAGCATCTCCAGTCCCCAAATTGGTCAAACCTGCAATCAGGATGCAATGGTAATTACCGGTGCGTGGAATGTGACAGGTGAGAACTTCATCTCACATACATGTTGGATATGTTACTGGGGGGGGTGGGGGCAGACCCTGGAGAAGGACATCATATTCAGTAAAACGTAAGTCTGACAATAAAGAGGAAAGCCCTTGACAGAATGGAACGCACAGCGGGTGGACCAGTGAGCTCTGGTGGCAGGGCAGCGGTCCCGGGGTGGTGGTCCCTAGCATAGCCCAGTGCCGGACCGTGCTCCACTGTTAGGTATTCAGTCTCTGGAAGTGCCTCAATGGCACGTACCTCCACCCACCATTTCTGGCCTTTCCTGAAAGCTAAGCAGATGCTATGACAAAAACTGCATGCCGTTTTTTACAGTTTTTCAGCTGTTTTAATTAATTCATTTAAAAAGTCAAAAAAATTTAGCTTTTCCTTTCTTTTTTTGTACAAAAATATCACAGCAGGCTGAGCAGAACCAGAAAGGGAAAGGACGACATAAGAAGATGACACGCTCGTGGGCCAGCGAACTTCAGGTCATCATGGATTTTGAGGAAATTGTAAACTTTTAAGCTTCTAAGGTTTTATTTCTCTTTAGAAAACAGTTGAGAAGGCTGCCTCTCCCAGGAATGAAAATGAAAAGTTCCCCACGCATTCGTGTCTAAGGAAGACAGGCAAGCACTGTTTTTCCTCTTGGAAAATGTTTCTCTATTGAACTCCACCACCCTGCCTTCCTCGGCTTCCGCTCTCCTATCCCCCAAGGCTTTGTGGGATCACACAGAGAGAGGAAGACCAACGTCCGGCAGCAGCCGCAAGGATGGTCGTGTGGGGGACACGGTGTCGGGGGCATCCCCAAACGCTCTGACTCTCTGGTCAAGCTCATCCTGAATAAAGGACATTGATCTGGGAAGAAGGGATGGGGGTGCCTGGGAACCCTTGGATTGCCTCTCACGGAAGGTTCGAGAAGCCCTCCCCACCCTTGATGTGTCGGCAAACACACTGCTGGACCCAATCACGTCAGGAAAGAATGAGAATAAATACAAAAGCATCTCCCTCCTCGCCCTGAGCTGCTGCCCTCTGCCCTGATTACACACTACTGTCCCCAGCCCACCACCTCGCTGCCTAGGGGCCCCGAGAGCCAGTGGCCACCCGGCCTGTGTTTGCATAGTATTAATGTCTTCTAGAGCCAAGCTCACATCCTGCACATGCAGCCCCGTTTCTGAGGAAGATTGGTCCTGTCTCCCGCATCCAGATACAGTCGGCAAGGCCCGCAGATGGAAACTGCGCCTGTCCCTAGCTGGCTGTCCACGTCACTGAGAAGTGGTCCTTTGCTGAGGGATGTGGGTCAGGCCGTCTTGTCGGCCACCTTGGCCTTTGCTCTCTGCATCATGCAGCGCCGGATGATGCTGTCGAAGCTGCCCAGGTAGAACAAGGCGATTATGCGGAAGAGGCCCATGGTCACCACCTGCAAGACAGGTAAGACTCAAGCTCAGGCAGAGGCTCCGGACAGTCCACTCTGGGCCTCAGGGTACGCGTCTCCACTAACAGGTCTCCCCTACTCTTTTTTTAGCTTTTCTCCAATAGTCTTTCTCTATCTCCATTGCCCACCGAGTTGGAACCAACTCTCAGCTGACTCTCCAGTGCGTTTACAGGGAATAGAAATCACCCTGAAGGCGACTGTCTATCTTTCTCCACAACAGCTGGTGGATTCGAACCATCTGTCTTTGGGCTGCAGTACAACTCTCAACATGCTACTAGATCTCACACACAAAAAAACAAAACAAAACAAAAACCCAAACAAAAAACCCCCTTTAGAAAATATGTTTATTATATTTTGTGTATCAAAATAAACCATGTATTGCATTAGGTAAATCTGCTATCAAGGACCTCTTTAAAATACTAAGCAGCAAGGATGTCAGCATAAAGACTAAGGTGCACCCGACACAACCCATGGTATTTTCACTTGCTTCCTATTTATCTGAAAGTTGGACAAGGAATAAGGAAGACTGAATAATTGATGCCTCTGAATTGTGGCATTGGTGAGGAGTACTGAATATCCTGTGAACTAGCAAAAGAACAAATAAAAATGACTCGGAAAAAGTGCAATCAGAATGCTCTCCACAAAGGCAAGGACAGCAAGACTTTGTATTCTACGCGTTGGGCATGTTCTTGGGAGGGGTCAGTCTCTGCAAAAGGACTTTGTGTTTACAAGGTGAGGGACATGAGCAAGAGGAAGACCCTGAAAAAGGTGAACACAGGGACTACAGCAATGGACTTGAGCATGGTGAAGATCGTGAGGGTGGTATATGAGAGTCATTAAGAGTCAATTAGACAGCACACAGCAGCAACAAATAACGCTTTGTTGAGGTGAAGAATTTTTGGAAATGATCTTTTGGTAAAGAGTCTCTCAGACACGCCTCACGGCATGCCCAAGTCTAACAGAAACTCCTCCATGTGAGTAATCGGATATGTCAACACAGTGCTGCCGCACCCGCCCCAATCAAAGATTGCTTCGATCAAGAAATTCAAATTAGGAAAAGGACAAAGTAGTCATTTTAAAGTTAGGACAGCAAGGAAAGAGCCATTCCTACCTTCCAAATAAACAAGCTACAAAAAAAGGCTTTTTTTGCCTAAAGAATTTTGTTCTGAGCTCAAAAGTCAGACCCCGGATGGCGAATGATCCCAATACCCAACATATAAAACTTCTTCCCCATCTAAAGTCTCTCAGTTCTGTCTTTCACTCATTTTCTATTTCTTTATCTTGGTAAGAGAAAGATAAAAAAAGTTTACCCTCAAATTTAAATTCTTTGCAACCTCACATAAAATTGCTAAGTCTTTGCTCATTGGAGCTTAATGAGAGACAGTGTTGTTTGTCTGTCTACCCGTCAGCCTGTCTGTTTAGGAAGAATTTACCTGCTGGAGGCCTTCAGTGATGGAGGTGACGGGGGCCATCCCACAGGTCAGGGACGAGAGCATGTACCCATCCGCGCCAATGGTGCTGTTAAAATTTCCTTGCTGGAAGAGAACCAAGAGGAAAGAGGGCACTGTAGTGATATTAGTGACAGAGAAGGGAAAGGGCCCGACAGGGCAGAAGCCGCAACGTGAGCCCGCTCACTCCTGGTGGGACAGGAGGTCCTGGTAGACCAGCCAGAGTGGGCACACCGGCAGTCCTTCCTGGAAACATGAACCGAGACCTTTCAGGGGTCTGTGGAGATAAAGCCATTTGTCCAAGCCCCTCACTGCCTTCTTCACAGCAGCACTGTCCACACTGATGGCCAACAAGCAGCGGCCCTCGTGCTCAGCATAACACCCATGCCGCAACACACAAACACACAAGCCAAACCAAAGTGGAAAAGCCTCCAAACAATACAAATGTCAGCACTGCTTCCAGCACCTTTGTTGAGACAATAAAAGCCACCATTCATTCGGAGCTCAGCCCTTGAGGCCAAGGCTCCGTGGGACCAAATGACAAGCACGTGTATGCAGGACACTTGGCCGAGGGCTGTTCTGAGGGGCAAGTGACTCTGAACATGGCACCCGGGCAGCTGATGTGGGCGCGGGTTGACCGTGGTGGTCACCTCCTGGGGTTCCATCTTGCATGAAAGGACTGTGTATGGATGTGCCACCAACACTCGTACCCAGGAATCTGCAGACATTCTGTAGAAAATGAATAATCCTTCCCTGTCACTTCAAGGCAGGCAGCTGATGGCATCTGTGGTCAATGATCAAATCAGAGCTTCCGCGCCACAATCAAAACTCATGAAAACTCGCAATTCCCACCCTGAGTTTTCCAGCTGCCCAGCAAGTACTCATGTGACAGGCTCAGTGGTAACGTTCAGGAATGTGACTTTTTCTTCCCCCCTAACTAGTGAACACATATTTTCCAAATGATACATATTGTCACAAAATCAGGTAAATATCCAATCAGAGTGCAGGACAGGCTGATGGATTCGAAAATGAGGGAGAAGACGACGTTCATTCCCAGGATTTCCCACTCCATTTGTTGCGTTTTGCACTACATCAAAATGAATACCCTTGGGAAACAATCCTCCCTTTGCCAAGTTTAAGGAACTCTGATGGTGGGTCCGTAGGGAGCGGCGCTGCTAACACGAAGGTCACACCTCTCCAGCAGCTCGAATCCACCCGCAGCTCTGCAGGAGAAGGAAGTGCAACCTCCTTCAAGTTAATTTACAACCTTGGAAAACCCACCGGAGGGTCAGCTGTAAGTTGATTCTCACTTGAGGAGAGTACGTGTTAAGAGTTTCCCCCCAAGTATGTAAGATGCCATGGTGGCCTCGTAAACAGTGTGCTGAGCTGCTAACTCAAAGTCTGGCAGTTCAAACTCACCAACTGCTCTGAGGCAGATAGATGGGCTATCTCATCATGTACGGACTGCAGCCTGAGAAACCGGACGGAAGGTCGCTGTGGGCTGGTATTGCCCTAGGTTCTTCTAACTACACATCCCTGTCGCGTCAGATTTTTGTCATGCCCTTAAATCCACACATTACAAGAGACGGAGTGGAGCATCAGCAGAGGGAACCCAGCTGTGTTTCAGCAGTGTGGACAGGAGAGAACGGTCAAAGTGTAAAGCAATGCCACCTCCTCCATACAATTGCTTCGAGAAATCAGTATTTTTTAATATGAACACTATTTTCATAGTGCAATACAAAAACATAAGGAGCTTATTATTCTTTGAATAAATTCACATATAATTTTAAAATTACAGTTTTCCAATGTACTAGACACCAACTCCTTGCTACTGAATTGAAATTGGCTCATAGCTCAGCCTCCAGCAGGTTTTCAGAGGCTATAAACTGCACAGGAAGAAACTACCCATCTTTTTCCTACATCGGAGCAAGTGGATTCAAACTGCCTGCCTTTGGGTTGGCAGCTTAACTCCCTATCCACAAGACTCTGGGTTCATTATCATGGTGCTGGTGGTGTTATGGACGGTTGAGTCAGAACTGACTCATAGCTGACCTTCTGGTGAGTTTTCAGAGGCTGTAAACCACATGTGACATGAATCCCCATCTTTCTCCTGTGACACCATATTAGTATGTTTGTTGTTGTTATGTGCCGTCGAGTCATTTGTGACTCAGCGACCCTATGTACAATAGCCCTAAACTCTGCTCTGTCCTGTGCCAATCGCACTGCCTCTGAAACACCCATCCCGATTACCCCAGTCACTGAATCAATCCACCTCATAGAGGGTCTTCCCCTCCTGCGCTGTCCCTCCACTCTACCAAGAATGATGTCTCTCTCCAAGGACGGTCCCTCCTTACAACATGTCCAAAGTATGTCAGACGACGCCCCAGAATCCTTGTCTCCAAGGAGCAGCCCAGTTTAACCCTTTCCAGGATGAATCTGTTTGTTTTCCTAGCAGTCCATGGAGCACACGGGAACCAAAATATGACTTTGAGTCTATCCCACCTGAATTTCAGAACCATCTCAGGAACAGGTTTGAGGCCTTGAACACCAATGAGCGAAGACCAGATGAGCTGTGGGAGGATATCAAGGGTGTCTCCAAAAAGAGTGCAAATGGTCATTGCAAAGATCAAAGAGGAAGAGAAGACCAAAATGGATGTCAGAAGAGACTCTGAATATTGCACTGGAGCGCGGAGAAGCCAAAGTACAAAGAAGAATTCAAGATACTAAAGAGTTGAATAAAAGATTTCAAAAAGCAGCACGGGATGACAAAGCAAAATATAATGAAATGTGCAAGGAGTTGGAGTCAGAAAATCAAAAGGGCTGAACTCGCTCAGCATTTCTTAAGCTCAGGGAACTGAAGAACAAATTCAAACCTTGAGCTGTTATAATCAAGGATGCTTTGGATAGAATATTAAATGATCCAGGAAGTATTAAAAGAAGATGGAAAGAATATATGGAGTCACTGTATCAGAAGGAATTGGCAGACACAGAAGAATTTCATGAAACAACATATGAGCAAGAGCCTATGGTGATGAAGGAAGAAGTTCAAGCTGCTTTGAAGGAAATAGCAAAAAATAAGACCCCAGGAATAGATGGTATCCCAACTGAGATATTTCAGCTAATAGATGCTGCCCTGGATGTGCTCACCAAGTTGTGCCAAGAAATCTGGAGAACAATCTTATTAGTATAGTCCATCTAAATAAAGGGTCTCTGGGTTCGATAATTTTTAAAAAAATATAATGCAGTCCTGAGACAAAAAAAGTCTCAAACTTGGACTCAGTGAGTCCTGATAACACGTTGAACGTGCTCAGCTGGCAATCAAAAGGGTGGAGGTTGGGGCTCGCCCGGAAGCTTCTCAGCAGAACGACCTGGTGACCCACTTCTATAAGGCAGCCATTCGAAAACCCTGTGCACACAGGTCTGTTCTCACACGAGGAGTCAGAATCAGCTTGAGGGCAGCACTGTCTCAGCGGGGTCTGCGGCTTCTGCACTGGAGTCTGCGGCTTCTCCAACAGGGTCTGTAGTTTTTTTTAATTTGACTTAGTGAAGCCCAAGGTGACAACAGTGACGTCCCAATGAGGCTGTCAAGTGGCGCATCGGTTCGCCTGACAGCAGTGTGAGTCTGAGAAGTACGGAACTGTCGCACGAATGCAAGTATCTCTGCGTGTCAAAAAACATGCTTTTCTAAATAAGGACACCCAAACACAACTAAAAAAAAAAACACCAAAAATAAAGATAAGAACACCTAGTTTGACAACATCATTTTGATTCAAAGCAAACTTGGGAGCCCAGAAAACCTGTAGGTGGCTATGCTGACATGCCCGCTGGCCTGGCTGTACTTTCAATGACCACTGGGAGATGGGACTGGGCACCTGGAAGGGGAACAGAAAGTCCTCCTGAACGCCCACCGGAATAACGTGGACGGGAAACTTGATCCTGGCGTTAGGAGGTCTAAGAAGATGGTCGAGTTGAGCTGGGCAGGACTTGGCGATTCCTGCTTATTCTGACTGAAAACAAGCGCACATGGTACATGTCTTGATCCTAAGGCTGGCAGTTTGACCCTGCCCAGAAGTGCCTTGGAAGAAAGGCCTGGTCATCTACTTCTGAACTGAGGAGTTGGGATCATCTAATGGCTGAAAGCTCTGCAGGAAATAAAGAAAGAGGTAACCTGGTATGGAGTATTTACATGTCACAGAAACACTTCAATTAAAAGCAAGCAAAACACAAAACCTGAATTCCCAGGTAGGTTACACAGCTAAAATGATTCTCAAGTTAAAATACAAAATATGTTACTAGAAAAAAAAAATGTTACTAGTCTTCAGATGTCTAGTCACCAACATTTAATCAATTAGAGTGTGCCACTATTGGCTAAAATGAACCTGTCAGAAAATTACCATAATTATTAAGGCTTTTTAATGAAGGAAGTGAAGACGGCTTGGACTTACTATGGCGTCTCTGACGATCTGTTTGGCCACCTGCTCTGGTCTGCAGAGGGATGTGGTCTCTGAAATAAGCTGGGTCTCTAAAGGCTGAAAGTAGAAAGAAAAAGAAAAATGTCGACATCAACACCACTACTGCTGTTACATAAACATCCATCACTCTCGGTCCAGTGGAACCCTCCAGTCGTCCACAAAGCGGAAATGCCCGTAAGGTTTTCAATGTTGTAACTCAGAAGCAGAACAACTCATTTTCCTCCTCAGGAGTGGCTGAGAGGTTCAAACTTCTTTTTTTTTTCCCCTTTATTATTATTTTTGTGTGCGTGTACCGTCAAATCAGATCTGACTGGTACAGGAGGATATTGCGCCTCCTTCTCCGGCACAGCATCTGGTGGATTCGAACTGTGTTCCTCTGGGATTGCAGTGCAGCTTCTTGCCAGTAGGCCACCAGAGCTCCCCAGAGAGGTTCAAACTTCTGATCTCTGGGTTATCAGTCAGCTGCTGCGTCACAGACTAGTGTGTCACCACCTCTCCTCCAATTTGTTGACACGTGGTTTTCTGCCATTAAGTAGGTTCTTAGGTTTTACCCTAAGGTCCACCTGGATTCAAATAGGTATTGACCAGGTTAAGCGCAAACCAAAATGTAGTCCACTGTTACTAAGTTGGTTCCAGCTCAAGGTAAGGATAAAGCAGAACTGCCCCAAAGTGCTTCCAAGCCTGCAGAGAGGAAGCTGCTTCTGAAGTGTTAACCGGTCCCTTAACTTGGTTCTGTGAGAGTCCCAGGTTGGTGCAAATGGTTAATGTGCTCACTTGGCTGTTTACTGCAGGTTTATTCACAAGAGCAAAGAGATGGAGACAACACACATTCCCATGAATGGACGAATGGGTAAAGACGCTGGGGTGTGTTCACAGAAAGGAGCAGACACAAAGTAACATTGAAGAATGATGGCCTAGTGGGTGAGGAGTTTGACTGGCAATCCAAAGGCAGGCTGTTCAAATCCACCAGCTGGTCTGTGGAAGAAAAGTGGAAACTATCCTCCTGCAAGATTTATAGCCTCTGAAAATCCACTGGAGGGTCAACTATGAGTCAGATTGGATTTGATGGTCCACAACTACAAAGAATGATAAAAGATTCAAGAAACTGCATAACGTGGAGGAATCTAGAGAGTTTTATGCTGAGTCACATAACTCAGTTACCAAAGGTCAAGGAGTGAGAGCACGGCTGTAAAATCAAAGGAGTGACACACAGAGCCACGTTTCGGATGGTTACTCTCCAATCTGCAGCTTCTAGTGACATACACTTCAACTTTCAACTAATTAAGAGAAAGTACAATTCAACAGCCCATTTCTCAGTCCCATCAACTGCATTTCAAGTGTTTCCTCACCACAAAATGCCTGTCACGTTGGGACATCTCCATTCCTGTAGAGTTGGGCTGAACAATGCTTCAAGGGGTCAGAGAGGAGCGTGGAGACCTGACTAACACTTTACTTGGATCACGGTTACATGGGAGGATCACAGCTCATGGGACTAAGAGCAGAAGCGGGCTCACCACACGTAGTCTACTATGACTGGAATGGGAGGGAGAGTGATTAAAAACAAGGCTGGTGCCGGATGTGTCCTGAGGGCAGGGCTGATGGTTTGCAGCTCAACCACACGTGGGTGTGAGAGGAGGATTCCCGTGTGGGACACGGCGGGGAGGGGGAAGGCGTGCGAGGCAGGAAGATGGAAAACAATGAGGTTCAGAAGGACAAGTTTAGAGTTTGAAATATTGAGTGTAAGGTTGCAAACTGAACGGGTCTCTAAATTGATAATGATGTGCTGTTCTGACTGAATGATTAGTTCCCTTTAAATGTTACGCTGAGAACGTCCATCCTTGAGCCCCAGGGAATGATGCCCAGCACGGCGCCTGGTTCCACTGTGAGGTTCGTATCCATCTACAAAGTGGAACTCGGCTGCCTGGGTACTTTGATAAAGATGCACCCTGTGTTTAAGGGGACGGGGCTGGGGGTCCCTGGAGAAGCTCGGCAGACGCTCTGCAGCACTGCTCACAGGCTGTGATCACACAGGTGGCGATGATGTGGACTGTAGTGATGAGGCAGGAAGTGGAGTTGGGGTGACAGCACTCGGACATCCCGCTGGACAGGGCACACAGGAAGGCTTACCTTCGTCTTGTTCTCCTCCACCAGCCCAGGGGTGTCTGTGTCGGGTGGGTAGGCCACGGTCACGTACACGTTATATGGCTTCACCTGCATTTATGAACACGTGCACTTTCAGTCATTGAAGGATTCTCCCAAACATCAGGGCTCACGTTCTTCAATAGGACCATGACCTGCCAGGTGAGAAGCCCCTTCCAACTGGGAAGACCCCTCACCCAGAGGTGAGACCAGTCAGGGGAAACCCACCAGAAGCGTGCGCCTGGTCCCACCTGGGGACACCCGGGCCCTACTGGCAGCACCTCTGCCCTGCTCCCTGGTTCTCCACTGCCCCCCTGTAGCGGGCCATGCACTCAGCTCACTTGCTCATCCACTATGCCCACCAGTCAGTCCACACATGCCCGAGCCTGGGACCTGGACAGCCGCAGTGCTGACCGCCCACCCGGCTGCCTCTCCACTGTGTTCCCTCTTTGCTGCTGGCTCCCTCTGTCCCCGAGAGAACAAGGGGACAGCGGGCACACGGCAGAGGCAGGAAGGTGGGTTGTGACCTATAGAGGGTGGTCAGTAGGGGGACAAATGATCATTCTGAGATCTAAATCCTGTACACAGGCCCTGACGGTGAAGAACTCAACATGCTCACTGCTAACTGAAAGGACAGCAGTTCAAGACCATGAGCTGCTCTGCTGGAGAGAGATGCACCAGACTGTCTTCATTAAGATTTACCACGCTGGAACGTTCTGGAGCTCGGGAGACCCCGGGAGCTGTTCTTTTCTGTCCTAAGGGCTCACTAGGAGTGGGCCCCAGTGGAGGGCGGTAGCTCCATTTCTCCCTTATCTTATGACTTGTGGCCCAGTGTCCCCAGAAAGCCCAGCTCTTCAATTTGTAGAATGGGCTGTGGGGCTTAGAGGGCCTGTGTGCAGGACACGCTGGCCAGTGTCCGGCTACGGCTGAGGCTGTGGGGCTCCATCTCCGCTGGCTCCAGTCCTGAGTCCCCCAGTGTGCTCGTATATAAAGCCACTCCACAAAACGGACAGGGCACATCGCTCCAGGGTTGAGCCCATGGACAGTGGGGGCCCAGACCACACAGCTGATAAACACGCCCACTGCCACGCGCTGCTGAGACCTCCTGCGGCCTTGCTGTGTGTTGACCAGAGGAAGCCACCCAAAAGTGCCGGGTGTCAGCACAGGCGATCTGACAATCAGCTGGCTGCTTGGTTAAGGCTGGTTCCCATGGCTTATCTGCCCCCAAACCGGCGAGTCACTGCTGCTCAGGTGACTTTGACTCACAGTGACCCCACGGGACACCGCAGGGCTGCCCCCCAGCGCTTCCTGGCTGTCAATCTTTACAGAAGCCGACACACCACCTCATCGTCCTCCCACGGAGCTGCCGGGGATCAGAACAGTCGACCTTTCAGTTAGTCATCAAACCCTCAATCACTGCACTCCCAGGGCTCCTTCTTTTGGCCTTTGCACCCCTAAATAAAGGCTGGGACACCTGGACAAATATAAAAACTGCATCTCACAGCAGTACATTTTCAAATGCATGGCTGTGGTTCTTTCTGTTCAGAACAGTTCTTCTATGAGGTTAGATCTAAGAGGTGTTTAAGGTAACAAGTCAGGCTAGTAACTAAAAGCTAGGCGAACTGAATCCACCGGCTACTCTCTGGGAGACAGATGGGCAGTCTCCTCCTGTAAAGACAGAGAGCCCTAAACCCTGAGGGAGGGTCACCATGAATTAGAACTGACTGGTGGGCAGTGGGTCTTTAATGGGGAGGCCACCAGGTCACTTGGGCCGGAGAACACCAGAGGTCAGCTGGTCAGTCCCTCCCCAGGTGCTGGCGACCTCTCTACAAATCTCAGGCCCAGACTCTCCTGGCCCATGGTGCCCACCTCTGATGCCTACATTCTCCACCACCTCAGCCTACCCATCCGTCCAGTGCACGACACAGAATGATGACTGTGCAGCCACCACGCTCAGCGCAAAGAACTGACGGGAACAAAGCAGGGGATTCCCTGCCCTCACGGAGTGGACAGTCTCCTGAAACGCTGGTCAGGGATTTACCGAAAGCTACGTGAGTTACATTCCCTCTGCCAAGACTTCCATCACAAAGCGGTGCTGCTGAGCTCAACCCAGCCCGGGTGGTCTTTCTCCTAGGACAGCACACAGCTGCTATCCCTTAGAGAAGATTTTCTTATCCCAAAGACAACCGTGCGGCCCAGGAAATCCGCTCTGCGCAGTTCACACACAATTCTAAACACCAAGTGGTTATTATCAAAGGGGGTTTCCAAAGTGAGAATTGCAAAAGAAATACTGGCATGCCTGTCTGCAATTTCCCCAGCTGTCCTTGCCCAGCTGGCTGGACCCACTCTGAGGATCTCTATAAAGAGTGTTAAATAAACTGAAGACAATGGCAGTTGGAGACTGGTTCCTTTGATGTGAGAGCACACAGGCCATCACTTCCTAAGTGACCACTGTGTCACTGTGAACCTCATCGCTGACAGAGCTGATGGCACTGCAGTGCCCTTACAACACTGAGGAAGTGTGGAGCTGCCAAGCTCCAATGTCACTTCTAAGATCTTCTAAATCAAGGGATGGCAAACTACGGCCCAATAGGCAAATCTGGCCTGCAGCCTGTTTTTTTAAATAAAGTTTTATTTATACATAGACACACTTGTTGGCTTACACGTTAACTGGGGCTGTTTTCATGCTAGTGCAGCAGATCTGGGTAGCTGCAAGATACCATCCATCCCTCAGAAGTGAAAATATTTACTCTCTGCCCAACTAGTCCCAATGGCCAAACTTGGGAACAAGCTAATGTCCACTAACAGGTGAGTGGAAAAAGGACAAAGACAACAGGCTACTCGGTCACAATGGGCAGTGAAACTCTGAGAACAATTTTTGACAAGGATGAAGCTGTGTAAAGCATTTCGCACCAGGACAAACAGCCTATGGTCTCGCTCACATAATCCTGGCACATTGTAGAAACCAAAGGAGCTCTGTGGTCCAGTGGATAAGGAGATGTGCTGATATCCCTAAGGCAGGTGGTTCGAATCCACAAGCTGTTCCAAGGAAGAAAGACGGGCCACCTCCTCCCATGTGGTTCATTTTCACCATCAGATACTTGACTGAAGTGTGTCTAAACATGGCTGAACTGAGAGGAACACAGAGAGAAACAAAGAGAAGGTCACCTCCATCTGCAGCGCTTCGGCCAGTCCTCTCAAGGCGAACTTGGACGAGGAGTAGGCCGTGAAGCCAAACAAGCCGAGCTGTCCAGCCTGGGAGGACACAAAGACGATCCTGCCCACGCGCCGCTCCTTCATGGTGGTGATGACCGCGCGGCTGGCGTACACGCTGCCCAGGTAGTTGACGCTCATGAGCCTCTGTGGGGACAAAGGGAACGGCAGTGAGCGGGGCCTGGCTGCGGGGGATGCGTTGAGTGAATGGACAATGGACACCTCTCCAAACGCGGCGCACCATCAGCGCCTCCCATGCTGCCGGCAACAGGAGCCCGCACTGGGCACATCCCACGAAGCCAACGCTCATGCAGTGGGCTGATTAATGCCACCCACCCCCATCCTCCAATCCGTAGCTACTGAGCCTCAGAACGTGACTGTGTCTTTACAGGTGGAATTGGTGGAGGACCGAGCTGAGATCATACAGAAGTACACCTAACATCAGGGACTGGGGTCCTCATGGGAGAAGAAACAGACAGGCAGACAGACAGATGTCACAGAGACCTGAACCAGGCAGCCTTGATTCACTGTGCTTTCACAAACTGGTTGACTGTGGCAACCCAGCGTCAAGCAAGATTATCAAAGCCATTTTCACAACAGCTGGTGACCACTTAAGTGTCAATAAAGAAATCTAACCTCACAGCATCTTGAACTTCTTCCTAACACTCTGGCACACTGAACAGCTCACACTGTAGCATAAAAACTGCTTTTTGTTCACTGGAATCCAAAGTTCACAAGAGTACACAGCAGTTTCCACCTTACTACAGTGGCTGGAACTGGCTGTACAAGGTCCCTAGGTCACCTGCACAGGGAGGAGGGCGCGTGATGACGGAGTCAGCAGACCTTATTTTCCTGCCCATTGCCACATCCCAGGTCCCAGCAAATGCGTGACACACTGGAGTGTGTGGGTGGGAGAGCTAACAGCGGATGGAGACGAAGGCTGATCAAATATCACCCCGGGCTAAATGCTATGCACAGATCCATTAGTAACTCTCACAGCTGGTGATCTGCAGATCCATTTCACAGAGAGGGAAGCTGAGGCTGTGAACTGCCCAAGACCACACAGCTGGGGAGTGGTCAGAGATGTGACCTTAGATCTGAGACGTGAAACTTGACCAGTCTGATGCCAGAGTCCACCTTTTGTCCACTGCACTTGGCTTCAGGGACCAACAGTCAGGGAGATCCAAGTGTGAAAAAGATGCTGGCAGGTAGGGCAGGGGCGATGGGGAGTAATTGGGATTTTTTAAAAAAGGAAAAGGCAAAGGGTGAAAGGAAGAAAGTGCAGTGTAAACGGAGACCGAACATTGACATCAAAAGGAGTTTCTCCTAAATCGGCCACACAGGGCACTTTGTGTTTCACACAGGGCACTCAGTGCTTCGCACACTTCCTTGCTCCACCCTCCAGCTCTTGCCTCCTCCCACCTGTTTCCCACCCTCGCCCTGCTGCGCCTGCTGGCATCACACCCTGGTCCTGTGACTCCTGCTTCAGGTCAGACACCTACACCAAGCCCTGGCTCAGATACAACGTGTTCATCAGACCCAGAGGGAAACCACCTTCCCACAGAGCCCCATGACCTCTGTCTCCCCGAGGCCGCCTTTACAGCAGGCACTCATTCACTACAACTGTGTCAGGAGTCCAGGGCACAGTGGTTCAAGGTCAGCATTCTCCGAAGATGTTTATCAAGTAGGTTAACACGAGAGGACGTGGGGTCCTAACCCTGTAGGACTGCTGTCCATTGAAAGAGAAGACACAGGGACAGAGAGACAGAGGACTGATGGCCATGGAAGATCTATCTAGAAGTTAGCACCACAGACTGTCAAAGCACCAGAAGCTGGGTGGGTGGTGTGGGCCATTTCTCCGCTGCCTGGACTTGGACTCGAAGCCTCCAGAACAGTGAGAACTCATCGCTGGTCTTAGGAGGCACCCAGCTTGCGGCACTTGGCTACAGCAGCGCTGGGAGAGAACACAGAATGCGAAACCCAGGGACGCATGAGGGCTCAGCAGAGCACTGAGAGAGACTGTGGGTGGACAGGCTACTGAAAACGGCTCACACGGCAACGATTTCAAACCAAATGCCCCTTTCTTTAGGGCTAACGTGATTTATAACCGGAGAGATTCAGAGGCAAAGCTGCCTAAAAAATATGAACATCCATAATATTTGTTTTCATGTTTGAGAACCTTAGAGAATTTGCCTTGAACTTCCCATTGTCTCATACTGATGGTGGTGGGGGTAGAGGCCTGAGCTGGTCATCTCCTAGTGACCCCATCAGGACGAAAGTGTCCTCATCGTCACCGCACTGAAGAACACTGTGGCCGTGACTGTGTCTATCCTTCATGTCCTCCTCTGTATCTCTGACCCTCTGCTTTTCCAAACACGATGTCCTTCTCCAGGGACTGGCCACTAGGACTCAGAGTACTGCCACTTCACATGAAAACCCAACCTCTCTTACAAAATACTCCTCTGTATATATTTCCTTAGGGCATTATCACAGCCATCTCCCTGAGATTAGAGGCTTCGTTCTCATTTCACAGAGGAAGGAACTGAGGCCCAGAGACTTGCTAATGGTTAGCTAGCCAAGGTCCCAAGAGCAGCCTTGTCCAGTCTTCCTGCAGTCGTCCGACGCTTCCATCAACATCTAAATGCACTGCATCTGTTTCCATCTTATTCTACCTTCCAATATGGGCTAAGTGAGCACACATTTTTACTTACTTCAAAACTACTAACTTCCAGCTCTTCAAATTTCCCTGAAATCGCCTTCCCTGCACAGTTCACGAGCATGTCCACCGGACCCAGTTTCTCCTGAGCCTGAAGAGGTTATGTCCACGCCAACAGCAAGACAGAGAAGAGAAAAAACACTTAGTAGAAAAATCAAGGAAAATAGGAACAATTGTGACAAGAATACGGAGGATTCAGCCGCAAGTCCCCAGGACGAAGGCTGGAACCCGTCAAAGTGCATGTGAATGAACTCCAACCAGCTTCTTACTTGTTTGATCACATTCTCTACTTGGCTGTAGTCTTGAGAAACATCGACAGAAATGCAAAGCACCACCTGTTAATTAAAGAAAGGAAAATGGTCACGGTCTCTCAAACGATTCTTGTGAGATAAAGGCAGCTCTTGCCAACAGGCGCAAGCTCAAGTCAGACCATAGCGTTTGTGATGGAAAGCTGCTGACTGTGTCATTGCTAATGCTTCATTTCCTTGGCAATCTGCACAGTAAAGATTCTCAAAAGTAGGTTTTGATAGAAAAATCCTCCTCTTGAAATGCCACCAAGTTGCAGTCACAGAAAGCAGGTCAGAGGTTTACCAGCAGCCAGGAGTGGCGGGAAGGATGGACTGCAGGTGGCCATGGGGAATTCAGCATCATGAAAATGTGTGTCTTTCGACTACAGGGTTGTTGCACAAGTGTATACCCAAAGCCAACCCAAAGGAGCCAAGCCCTCTGCCACGGAGTCAGTCGGACCCATGCTACTTGCAGGGCTTGATGAACTGCTCCGTAAGGTTTCGGGAGCTGCTACCCGTAGGAAGGCAGATTGCCATACAACTTCCAAGGAGCAGATCGTAGGCTCAAACCACTGACCTTTAGGTTAGTAACCGAGCACTTAACCATGGCACTGCCAGGTCTCCTCCAGTGTATGTCCGGCCCAAAAGCCATCAAATTACATGTTTGAAAGGAGAACAGAATACGACATCTGAATATTATCTCAGTAAGGATGTTAAAAAAGAACAATAAACATAATTTTTTAAAGTAAAATGGTTTATTTAAAATCGTTTTCATTCTAGGGTATTTTGGTTATTACAAGAGTCCACAATTAAGATTGCATAGTGGAGTGTACTTGGGGTGGTGGGAGGGGTGCAGGGGGATTGTGTACCAGGGATGGAGTTTTTCTTTTACTTTTCAAAGAGAGGAGCGAACTGGGGGGGGGGGGGGGGGGGGGAAGGCTGGGCAGGGAGAAAAGTGCAACAATGAATGAATGGAAATCCAAAATCTCTGTAAATGTTCATTAAAATTATTAAAATAAAATCTAAAAAAAATTGTTTTCATTCACTCATATGGTCATTTAATTATGAACATGAGGTCAAGTTTTTCACTTACATGGTAAATAGTAAAAGGATTCCCCAGGGCACGAGTAAAGTTGGAAGAAGGGAGGGAGGGTGGCTTGGAGTCTTTTTTCTTGAATGTAATTTCTTTTCGTTGCTGTTCAGAGTATGTGTTGCCAAAAAATGCACCAACTCAATAATCTCTAAGTTGTAATTCGGTGGAGGTGATCAGAGTCCTCAGACTGTGCAGACCTCAGCCTCACTTCCCACGTTGCTTCCCCTATAAACTCACTATCCTCAGGTTCTCCAACCATTCGGGTTGCTGCTGTCAAATCGAGATCTCAAAGGGACAGACCAGGTGGGAGTATAATGCTCAAGGGAGGTTTTCACCAGTCAAGCTAAATCACTGTCTGGGTTTAAGAAGACTCCAGGGAATATTTTTGGAAGGTCTCACTCGTTCTGGAGAGGATTCATTCAGACTCAGAGGTTCCAGAATGTCTAGATTCCAAGAGACTTTAAATTTCGTTCTACCTACTAAGCCTTTAAAGAAACCACCCACCCACCTTACCTTAAGCAGGATCATGGCTGTGTCTGACCTGCTAGGGTATAATATCAATCAAGCACGAGCTTAAGTAAACAATACTTAATCCCAAAGTCCTCCGAGGCACATCCATGCTCAGTGGCTGAGCCAGGCTCCAGTGGGCCACGGACTTCAACTTCCAGGCCAGAAGTTGCCATGGGACATCCAACTTCAAGGCCAGCAGTCAGTATTGACCTCGAGGAGCTAACCTGGCTCCAAGACCAATGTGATTCAATCACAGACTCCTGACTCCAGAACTAAGCAGCAACTCACAGCTTCTCTAGAAAAATGTTTCCTCAGCAGAGGCGTGGGGCCCTCCCCACACATACCCAACCAATGCTCAAGGTCTAAGTATGGAGTCATGATGGAGAACCACGCAGCCTGTGAAAACAATGGCACCTAGCCTCAGAGTGGGCCAAGGAAGAGTATCCCTTAACGGTGAACAATGGACCATAAAGATACGTGTGGCTTGAATGTTCAGTTACTTACTGAAGAGAAGGTGGTTTAAAGGCACCAGGCACCCTGAGCGGGAGGATGAGGCAGCCTGTCTGTGTAAAGATTAGTCTTTGAAACCCTGAGGCAGTGCTTCTCTGTCCTACAGGTCACTGTGGGTTGGAACTGACTTGATTAACATTTTGCCGCAAACGACAGCTAAATGTTTCTAAGCACGGTCGTCTATTTACGGCAACGTGTTAATAGACCTAGCTACCTATATATGATAGATAGATAGATAGATAGATAGATAGATAGATAGATAGATAGACAGACAGACAGACAGACAGATAGGCTAGACAGCCAGCCAGACGGTCTATGTGTATGTATTAATACACTCACTCCTATATTGTTGTTGTTTACTGGTGAACTGGAACCGACTGATAGATGGCCTTCCAGAGGCTGTCCATCTTTCTCCATGGTGCAGCTGCTGGATTCAAACCATGTGCCTTTGGGTTGCCAGAGCAACCACAGTGTAGGCATACAGACTAACAGGTACATGTAAGTGAACACGCATGTAGCAAGATCGATGAATTCTGACAGTAATACCGAATAAAGACATGGAGCTGCAAGAGAATCCAGGATGCTGCAACAGTCTCCAGATGCGGCAGACTGGCAACTGCCTGGGCCTGGAGTGGGCGGGAAGGAACGGAGGTCACTGACCAGGGTATGAAACTTCTCGCTGGGGTGACGGGAAACGTTCCAGAGACGACCGGGATGATGTTTGCACAGCTCGGTGAATGCAATAAAAGCCAATGAATTGTACACTTTAAATCTTATCTACCCTCTGTTGTAAGGTATATGAACGATATCTCAATAAACCGTCATGATGTAAGAATGACGTCATCAAGCTCACAGGAAGGATGCCGTGTGAGGCCCAGCACTGCAGAGGGAGGTCCCTGTGCCCAAAGGGGGAGGGGGAGCAAACCCAGGCCCACAGACAGCAGGCTGAAGTCACACAGAGAGCAGGGCGAAGGGTGAGGCTGAGGGGGTCCTGGGGGTTGCCCAGCCCTCAAAGACCTTCTTTCTCAAGCTGGATGGTGATATGTGGCTGATTTCCTACACTTTACATTGATGGATGCACACACACACATAACATACACAAACAGAGGAATTCTGTTGGCACACTGTATTATGTGTTACAGGCTGATAACTGAAAGGTTGGTGGTTCAAATCTGCCAGCTGCTCCAAGAGGAAAAAAGAGGCAATTGCCTTGGGCGATAAAACCAGAGAGGGGGCTGTTCGGAGCAAGAATTTACTCAACCGGAGCTCGTTCTGGTTTATTGGGGGCGGGTGTGTGTCTGTGTGCGTGTGCGCACAGAAAGGCACTGTAGTTTAGTACACACACATCCATTTTATTTTCATAGTCTATTTAAGTAACTGGAGTACAATTTCCCTGTAGAACATCCTGTTACCTGATGGTCTGTATGTGCTGAGTCTACACACCTGTGCGCCTGTTAACACCCCCAGTTTCCAGACAATTCAAATACTCCCCCCTCCTCAGAAGCAGTCTTCCCATCATGCCCGTTACTGAGGAGAACCCTAGACATTTTCCTCAAACTCGTTACAGCTCAAAGTGTTCCCCTTTTCCTGCAAACTGAGGGGTGACCAGTACAGGACAGTGTCTCACCTGCTTGTCGTTAATCGAGTGCTTTTCGATTTCTTTCTTGGCCTGCAGCAGCTTCTCCTGAAAGTGAGAAAACCATTAGTCCTGGGACTGCTTGTGTGTCTATCTGCTCTATCAAAGGAGAGGAAAAGCAAGCCTTTGCCCGAGTATCTGCTCCATTCTAGAGGACACTTTGCCCGAGTATTTGCTCCATTCTAGAGGTCACTCTGCGTGGCATAGGCTGGACCAGTCCACAAATGGAGAGGAAAGCATGTAAACCTAGGAATGGAGGGGACAGTGAAGTGGACTCAGCAGTCTCCCCCCAAAACTCATGTACATTGGGCCCTTTGGAGTCAACAGGGGATTAATTCAGGATGGAGAGGGGATAATGAGAAGGAGGGTGCGAAGTCAGGGGCATGTCCTTCCTCCCGAAGGCGGAAGAGGTCATAAAGGGCATGGGGGAGATGACCCCGTGTGACGACTGGGAGTTAGGCTGCCTGGTGCTGACCACATACACCCCCAGACATCTGAACAATGGGGCCCTGCTTCCTTTTCATCTCTTTTATAGCGAATAATAAGGAGCCCCGGTGATGCGGTGGTTTAAGCACCCTGCTGCTGAACGTTGATGGTTGGAAGAAAGACACGTGGGCGTCTATGTCCATAAAGATTACGGCCTCATAACCCAGCGAGGCACCTCCACTCTGACCTGTAAGGTCCCCCCCAAGTCAAGATCAACCTAGCAGCACTGGGGTTTTGTTTTTGGGGTGCCAAATATCAGTGTCACTGAAACCTCACAAAATGCCATCAGATTAAACTTGGGTTTTCATTCATGCTGTGAGATGTGGTCCAGTCCACTCTGACTCACAGCATCCTCTGAACAACACATCGATATCTTGCCCTACCCTGCACCTTCCTCACGACCAGCCTGCCCGAGCCCATGGTGAGCCACTGGTCAAGACTCGTTAAGGTCTTCCTGCTTCTCCAGCCCTGCACCTGTCCAGCACGATGACTGCCCCTGACAACACGCTCAGCCTGTACAAGGTGATCTTTCACCATTCTTGCTCTAAGGAACACTCTTCGTTCATGTAAAGCGGTTTAAATTCATGTAACGGGTTTAAACATCAAAGAAAACTCACTGCTAGAAAAGTAAAGGTATTAAGAAAAAGACAAGAGAATAAATGTTACCTAACACCATTTTCTAAAGAAGTTATGACCATGCATGTTTAACTCTGTCACTATGTCAGCACCGTCCCCACCTCGCGCCGCTGCCATGCCTACTGGTCCTGTCCAGGAGTCCATCCCGAGCCTGAGGGACTACCCTCCACTGTCCTCCTTTGAAGCAGATAACGTCTCCCTTGTCTCCCTCACCATTCCTTTCATTGATTCAGTTACCAAATATTTTCTCCGAGCACCTGGGAGATGCCAAGTCACTACTCATCTGCCAGAGTACTGTGGGGGCTCACATGTCTCTGTCACACTGGAAGTTATGCCCCTGGCATTTCAACGGCCAGCAGGTCCCCCAGGATGGACAGGTCTCCGCTGGCTCAGCACGAGGGCCACGGAGTGGACTGGCAGGCGCGACAATGCTCCCTCTGGAACAGCTCACGTGATGGCACGTGATAACGGTGTGCTCGTGGGAAGAGTGGTGTGGCTCTGGGAATCTACAGCAGCAGTGAGAATATCAACAGAACCAGAAACCCGCTCTCACCTGACCCAGAAAACCATCCTCCTTTTGCTGAACTTCCTGGGAAAAGAGATCCCCTGTGGTGCTTGGATTTCACTTGCAACCTGTACTGTGTCTTAAGTCAAAGACACCCACATGTCCCAGGTCCTGGATCCCTCTGTCCTTGCCCTCTCTGCCCATCACTGCCCCAGCCACTGCACAAGTGAACAGTCAGCACAGACCACATGTCATGGTCTCTCTGTCTCTGATGTCAACGACACTCCCTAATCCAGGTCATCCCACCTTAACCACAGCTTCTACTTGCCTTTGTGGTCAATGTTAGGTGCCGTCAAGTCGAGTACAGACTCACAGCGACCCTATGAACAGCCAACCTGAACCCTGTTCTTCAGGATTGTGCAACTTTGCCCTCAACTTTGCACTGAGTCAGTTCTAACTCACAGCGACCCACAGACAGAGCAAAACTGCCCTCGAGGGTGTCCAAGGCCATAAACATTTACAGGTATGAACAGCTTCATCCTTCTTCCTGGGGAAGCTGGTGGGTTTGAACTGCCGACCTTTAGGTTAACAGCGCAAGACTTAGCACAGCAGGCCTCCTTTCCTTCCACTATATAAACAAAAGAACACACACACACACACACACACACACACACACACACACACAGAGCTACAGAGTCAATACCAGCTGACAGCTGCACTCCTCTGGGTTTCTGACACCATTAACCTTTATGAGAGGAGATGGTCATCTTTCTCCTAAGGAGCACCGGGTGGATTCGAACTCCTGACCTTTAAGTTAGCAAGCTGACACATAACACACTATGTCACCAGAGTTCTATGTCCTCACAATAACTAAATACGAACTGAGGACGCACCTACAAACGCCACTGAAGGATGGATGGACACAGAGAGGAGTGGATGAACTCAGAACCTGGGACCACATGTCTACACTGTAGGGACCTGAATGAACCCAGGGCAAGCTGCATGGACTTCAACTATGAAACCCTTGCCCTGAGCACAGGAGCCATGGTCAGGAGTCACAGACTGGGGCGTTGAGTTGTTTCCCGCAGGGAGAGAACAGAGGCCCCTCAGAAATGCCTCTTCGACCAGTTTCTAGTCCAGGTGTCAGCTCTCAGTCAGCCTTACCTCGTTGCGTGCAACCAGCGTGATGAACGCTCCCTGTTTGAAACACTCGATAGCGATGCACTTCCCGATGCCACTGGAGCCTCCCGTCACCTGGGAAGAGGATCAGAAACCTCAGCACCCAAGACACTCCCCGTGCAGATAACACATGACGCAGTGTTCTCTACTTGGATGCCATTCAAACCTGCAAGCGGTGCAGTGGAAGCGAAGGCCTGACAAGCTGCGGCCATAAAGACGACAGTGCAGCAACCCCTGAGAAGTCAGCCATCTACTCGCCAACCCACAGGCGAGCCTGGAGCCGAATCAACTCAGAGGGAGAGACCTTGATGGTTTTAAAACGAGCTCTAAAACACACTCAACACACTGTTACTATGTGTCAGATTTAACACACTTTGTTACTATCTGTCAGATTCACTCCCCCACCTTTACAGTTACCCTATAGGACAGAAGTAGCTTTGAAGCAGGAGTGGCATCCACTTCCACAACAGCTTGCCTGTGGAAACCCTATGAACCTGGAGAAAGGACAAAAGTTATACAGGAAATGTCCAGGACTTTCATTCATAGGGTCGCTATGAGTCACAGGATGAGTCACAGGCGACTCGATGGCACATAGCAACCACCTCCACCACGTATGCAAGGATAGCTGTCCAAGTGGTCAGAAGGTTCACTGAGTATATCTAAATGGCCACTTAGTCTAGAACATATAATCGCATGAAAGCTTAGGAGAGCATTTTACTTCCCAGTGGTCTTCCTATCACACCATGTGTAGCTCATCTTGCTGGCCACTTGTCAGCGCCTGCTTCCTCCACCCACAGGCCCTTTGTGGGGTACACACCCCCTCTTTCATCCAGCTGCTGCCATCGAGTCTCGGCTCTGACATCAGCGCCGACTCCATCCGAGCACAGGCAGGCCAGCCCTTTGTTCCCGTCAGCACTGCATCCTTTTCTTCTCTATGATGTTGGCTTATCCAGTCATTTACTCATTTATTATCCCATTTATTCAGACAGTTGTTCCATTCACAGCCACTCTCCTATCACCACCCCACAGGCTCCCTACTGACAGCCGGCTCCGGTGGCCGAGAGTGGGTAAGGAGCTGCGCTGCAAGCCCAAAGACAAGTGGTTCGAATTAACCAGTTGCCTCACGGGAGAAAGATAAGACGGGTGATTTACAGCCTCTGAAAACCTGCAAGAAGGTTGGCTGTGAATCAGGTTCAACCTGATAGCAATGAGTTGCGTTTAAAGTCCTTACCTATCACATTTACGTTTCACGTCAGGCTGTTAAGCCAAAATGTCAGCTGTTCCAATCCACCCTCTGCAGGGGGATGACAGGCAATCTTCTCCAGCTCTGGACATCTGATGGAGGGACGCCACGAAACACAGTGGGTTTCATTTTGTCCTGGACATTCTACACACTGAGCACAGTGCCTGGCACATGGGAAATAGGAAATACTGAGCTTAAAACATATGGAACAGTATCTTTCTTGTTCGTGCCTCGATATAAATGTTCTATCATATGGAACTGTGTCCTCCTTTAAAAAAAATTGCACAATGTATTATGTGGAAAACAACAAGGCGTCAGGACATTCTAATAAATAATAAAACAAAACATACTTAAATTGACTGCTGTCAAATCAGAACTGATCCATAACTGACTTCTCAAGGTTAAATCACACCAGAGGAGACTGCCCATCTTTCTCTCAAGGAACCCCTGGTGGCTCTGAATGACAGAGAGGCACAGCCCCTGGATCTGCAGTGAAACTCCCAAAGGACTACGCTGTCAGAACTCCTACATTTTATAGTAAAATCTCAGACTCACTGCCGTCTAGTCCGAGCCAAATCATTAATCCCTTCCACTGCGTTTGAGAGGCTGTAAACTGCCCAGGACATTACTCGGACTTTGGGTTAGCAGAGCAATGCCCTACAGACTGCACCACCAGAGCTCACAGTGCATTAGTTATATCCAAACAGAGATCATCACCCACTTCTGGAATTTCTGGAAGTTTACTGCTAAATGCAAATAATGCGGCAGTGACCGTGCTGGACCGCAGCCCAGCCTCAGGTCAGCATTAATGCCCCACACGGATGAATCTTTCTCCTAGGCACCCCTACCTCTCATTAGCTTCAAGTCCCCAGCTCTGAAGCAATCATTTTGGTGGACACCAACCTGTTAACTACAGAGGGTTACCAGGAAAACAGATCTTGTCACTTAAGCCAGCTGGTGCACCTGGGGGAAATCTCTGGTACCAGTTTGGATTATCTCTTGCATTCTTTTTGTTTATTCTTGTTCACCAGATATTCTAGTTACACAACAGGTAGCTCTTTCCGTCTCCCTGCTACAGATAAGAACTAATGCAGAGCTGACCCCTAGCGGGTTTTCTGAGGCTGTAAATCGCACAGAAGCCTGCCCATCTTTCTTCTGGGGAGTCTCTGGTGGGTGTGAACTCCAGAGGGCCACTGCCCTTTGGGTTGGCAGTGCTACTTCCTAGAGACAATACCATCAGAGGCCCCAAAGTTCCTTCTGGATGATGCTTCTCCTGCTGTTAAGCTTCCCTCTACCCCACCTCCCCCACTCACCTGCATTCTCAAATCTTTCAGAGTCCTATTCAAATGCCCCTCCTCCATGATGGCTTCCTGGATTCCGGCACCTCTTCCTGTCCTTTATCTATCACCTTCTACCTGTTGTTATTGTTGTTATGTGCCATCCAGTTGCCTGCGAATCATAGCAACCCTGAGCACAACAACCCTGAACTCTGCTATATCCTGTGAGAATCTTACTGACTGACACACCTACCCCCAATACCCCAGTCACTGAATCAATCCACCTCATCAAGGGTCTGCCTCTCCTGCACTGTCCCTCTCCAAGGACTGATCTCTCCTTGCAAAGTGTCCAAAGTATGTCAGACGAAGCTTCAGAATCCTTGCCCCCAAAGGGCAGCCTGAACTCTCTCTCTAGGACAAACCTGTTTGTTCTCCTAGCGGTTCATGGTATATTCAGTATTATGCTCCAGCACCACAGTTCGAAGGCATGAATTCTCCTTCCATCATTCCTAGTCATTGTCTTAGTCATTTCTGATGCACAGCAAGTAAATGCAAAGACTATGACCTGGATCAGGCACACCTCAGTCTCCAGACAGACATCATTGCTCTTCAGCACTTTGGAGAGGTCCCTTGCAGCAGACTTTCTCAACGCAATTCATCTTTTAATTTCCTGCCTACTGGGTGTTGATTGTGTAGCCAAGCAAACTGAAACTATCAACAATTTCAATCTCTTCATCATCTATCATAATGCTGCCAACTGACCCAGTGGTGAAAATCTTTGCTTTCTTGATGTTGAGTTTCAATCCATATTTAATGCTGCAGTTCTTGACCTTCTGCAGTAAGCACTCAGATCCTCCTCGGTTTCAGCAAGTAGCAGTCTACCTCCAATCCTGATGCCTCATTTGTCCTCATAGAGCCCAGCCTCCCGGATAATTTATTCTGCATATAGGTTGAAAAGGTATGCAGATAGGGCACATAACTGGCATATACCCTTCCCAATTTTGAACCATTCAGTGTTTTCTTGCTCTGTTCTGACCTTCTACCCACACAATTATTTAAGTCTTAGCTCCCTTATCAGATTAGAAGTTCCTTAAGGACAAGGACCAAGTCCAAGTTTTGTCACACCCGTCCACCACCAGACTGCATAAGCCGCTGTCTGGATTCAGACTGGCCTAAGGTACAAAGTCTCTGAAAAATACAACCCCCAAACACCTTGGAGGGAAAGTCTTTCTCACTCAAAAGAGGCGAGGGAAGTGGGAACTGTGTGATTATGTAAGATGGTGGTAGTGGTGGTGTTGATTGCCTTCGAGTCAAGCACGGCTCATAGGGACCCTATGAACAAAAGGCCTGAAGCCCCTCTACAACTATCGACATTTATCAAAGTTCTTAGAGCTTCCAGAGGCATGTTGTTTAGGAAGTGGTCCCAGGCCTGTAAGAGTTATTGTGCAGACACTGCGATCCAGCAAATAATTGCAATAAAGAGAGTACACATGTCCGTGTGTTGTTTCCCAGTTGCACTCACACTTCACTGTTATCTAGTAAGTATGCAGAAGCATGTTGGAAATGTTTGAAATAATGTGAGGATGACCAAGCGTGACTTGGAGGCAGGTGGGGGCACAAGCTGTTGGAGAAACGATGCTGACAGTCTTGGTGAAAGCAGGGTTGCCACATTTTCCATTTTTGCAGCATTTTGTTGCACTCCCTAAACCAGGCCCGCCTCTGTGGCTGCCGTCCTAGTTCCACGTGGTATATAGGTTAAGCAGCTCCGTGAAACCACCTGTCTGTCGTGAGCAGAGGCCCAGGTCCAGCGCTGACAATGGGAAGGGAGCACAGACTTCAGCTTCTGCATCCTGACTTCCAGCTGAGCCAGCTCATTCTTGGAGGGAAACTCAGGTATACTCCAATCCTCTCGGGCGGCGTTACTCTGCCAGCCATGGGAAATGGAAGGGATTCTCTCAGTGGCTGAGAAAAAGGTAAATGCACGCTGTGGGCCTGACGACTGTTCCACGGAGCCCTGACGGATACACTAGACAACTCCCTCGTGTCCTTTATGATTCCTTCTGGACCTTTCATGGTAAATAGTGTCAAAATGTTTCTACATCGCTACTCATGTCAAACCCCACACCAAAATCATTGTTATCCCGTCAGCGATCCTAGAGGCAGGGCAGAACTGCCCAACAGGGTTTTCAAGGCTGTAGACTGTGTGGTAACAGATTGTCACATCGTTCTTCCCAGGAGCAGCTGGGAGATTTGAATCACTGACATCTGGGTTAGCAGCACACTCTTAACCCACTGTACCACCAGGGCTCTTCAAACCACACCATATACTTCATACCACAAGGGCTCTTCAAACCACACCATATACTTCATAGTAAGGGCAGCAGAAGAGGTGTTTTACTGCAGGGAGATCTGCTCTCAGGCACCCATTAAAAAAAGGGGGACCTGATTCCCCAATTCTCCTCTTAGCCTGTGCCAGCTTTTAAGATGCCAGCTGATGTAAATTAAATAAGTGTGTGCCACCCAAGACGTGCTGCACACGTTACGGCTGTAATTAGGGTGACAGCACCAACGTGGAGTTAAGTGTGCACCACCCAAGACGTGCTGCACACTTTACAGCTGTAATTAGCGAGGCAGCACCAGTGTGGAGTGGGGCCAGGCAGCCGTGGCTTTGCAGGCAGCTGCTCTCAGTACCTGCCCCTCTTTCTGCAGCCACACTGCCAGGTCCAAACAAACCTTCAGGTGGTGGCACCTTGCGGCCCAGTCCCTCTTACTCAGTGCTATGAGCTGCTGCCAGGAAGGTTTCTGACACAAGGTGACCCGTGTGTTGTGGACTTTGCTTGGCTGTCACCTTTACAGAAGCTAATCTCCAAGCCTGTCTTTCATGGAGCCATGGCGTGAGTTCAAACCTTCAGTCAGCAGCCTTGCGCCCACAGGATCTGTACATTCTTTAGAGGGACACATGAAGACAAAAAGGGAGTGCTGGTGATTTAACAGTAAGAAGTTGCACTATCAACTCAAAGGCTTGTGGTTCAAATCCACCAGTTGCTTCGTGAGACAAAAATGGGTAATCTCTTCTCATGAGATTTAACATCTCTGTGAACCCACTGGAGGGTCAGTTGTGGGTAGCTTCTGACTGGATGGTACCCAACAACAACAACAACATAAGGAGCTCTGATGACAGGTCTGCAGGGAAACCACACTGCTAACCCCGGGGCCCTGCCTTGTTGGCAGCTGGAATCCACCAGTGTCTCCTGAGAGAAAGACGGGCCATCTGCTCTCATGCAACCCACAGCCTCCAAAATCCTGCTGGACGGTCAGCTGTGAGTCGCTTCTGACTCCAGAGCAAAGAGTTACGATTAACGCAAGGAGCTCCGGTTAATGTGCAACAGTTGGTACATGGGAGGAAGATGTGTCGGTTGGCTTTTGTAAAGATGCCAGCCTCGGAACTGTACGGAGCAGATTTACTCTGACCAGCTGGGCTTGATTCCACATGGGGGTGGTAGTGTGTTTAAAATCCTCCGTCTGTATCTCAGCAGACACGGTAGTAATAATTTACCTGTGAGCTACAGGCTGATGGAGTGGAAGGTCAAGAAGTGCAATGTCTTGATAACAGTGAGCCAGAAGTGTCATGAGCGCCGTGGGCTTCACCTCCCTCCAAGTCAACTACAATCTCTGGAAACACAAGTACTAAGAGAAGCCGACCTTGGAAGCTATGCTTTAGCTCAAAAAAACATGCTTTGGAGCAGTTCTCTGATGGCTATGAAATGGTCAGAATTTTGCACTGTTGTCGAATTTTAGTGCTTTTCCCCCCCAGTGTGCCTAACTACACTCTCACCTTCTTTAGAAACAGCAGCAGGAGGAAAACAGACTAAGTTTGACAAAAAGAAGTAAAAAAAGAAAATGCATTTGTCATTCACAGGCTCAGATCTGGGTTCAGAGCACGTGGAAGGAAATGACCGTCCAGCTCCGTGGTGACCCCAACTCTCCACCCCAGGAGTAGTGGTGGTGCGGGGCGTTTGGCTGCAAGCGGCCAGGCAAGAGGATTTGTGCTTTAGCTTAGTAACCCATACTCCTCACTTACAACTCCCAGCTCGCTGTTGCTGAGGCATGAGAAGTAAGCAGGAAAACCACGAGAAAGCCCTGGGTTATGCACTTGATGAGAAGTAATCTCAGAATCGTGGTCTTTGGCACATTCTTAATAGGTTCGTTCTCTCTGAGTCGGGGGCCCCCAGTATGACACACATCAAACACCCCCACGCAGTCTGCTCCCAGGGCGCGAATCCTCTCTTCGGTCACCATGCTCATCCCCGACTGGACTCAAATCACAGGACCCTGTGCCCACAGCGCGCAGGGGTCTCCAGGCTGAGCACAGCTAGGAGACTCAGCCACACGCGATGTAGACGGTATGTAGACGGGGCAGAAGCGTGCCCACCCCGCCGGCCCTGCCAGCCCGCTGGATCCAGACCACTTGCGGAGAGGTCACTTCCCAGAACCCCTCGGTGGTTCTCCATGGAACCTTCCGGCTGAGTCCGCCCCGCGCCCACCGGCTGCTGCGTCTCTCGACCTCTCTGATCTTCAGTGTTTTTGGAAAACAGACCAAAAATGACCCCTCCCGGGCTGTTCCCGGCCCGGGCTCCAGGACGAGGCCAGGGCTGCAGGTGGCTTCTCGGGCATCCTCCCGGGCCCAGCTCACAGCGTGGCGCGCCAGGGCCTCCAAGGGCCGGCTTCACCTGCTCCCCTCGGACCAGCATCCCCGGGCCGGCCTCCCTTCAGGCCAGCATCCCCGGGGCCGGCCTCCCCGCGGGCCAGCATCCCCGGGGCCGGCCTCCCCGCTCGCAGGCACTCACCACCACATGCGCCCCGGGCAGCGCGAGGGGCTTGGGGCTGATGAGCGGCGACACCATGTAGAGCAGCAGCACGAAGGCCACAAGGAAGGCGGCCGCCAGCAGCAGCATCGCGGGGCCGGGGCGGGCGGCGAGCGGGCCGCGCTGGGATCCGGCGCTGCGCGCCGCCCGGTCACGCGCAGTCTGAGCGCAACAGGAACCCGAGTGTTTGGGTTCGCGGCGCAAGGCGGGGGCGAGCGGGGCGGGGCGAGAGGCGGGGAGGAGGAGCCTCCGGCCTAAGGGGCGGGGCTTCAGTGGGCGGACGAGCGACTCACGGAAGAGAAAGAACGGCTCTTGTCTCGGGAGCGAACAGCCTGTGAAAGGGGCGGAGCCGCGGGACGCGCAGGAGGCGGACCTTCCGGGTGGCGGGATCATCCGGGAGGGGAAGTGGAAGATCCCTGGAGCAGGCAGGGCGGAGCGAGACGGGAAAGGAAGAGGAAGAGCTCGGCCAGGATAGGGATTTCCACGAGGCGGAGCGTGCGTCCAGGAAGAGAGTCTACAAATAGGGCTTCTGGCTGCGTGGCTAACCGGCGGAGGAAGAGGAGGAGCCGTGGGTTCGTCGGGAAACGGCTTCAGGGGGCGTGGCGAGTGGGCGGGGGAAGAGGTGGAGACAAATAGTAACCTGGGGGGTGGGGCGAGCATGCAGAGGAAGAGGCGGGGCCACGCGGAGCCAATCGGGAGCGGGAAGTTTGTAAGGGAAGAGGAGGAGCCACAAGCTGTCAGTGCGTCTGGACCAATCAGAGGGCGCGAAAGAGGACCGGCCGCCCTACCCCTTCTCGAAGGATTCTGCAAGAGCATCCCAACGTCAAGTCCAGGTCTATGGCCTGCTCCCTAGAAAGAATCCTACAGAGCTGCGGGCGCGGCCTAGGGAGAAGAGCAGATTGTTATCGCCTGATTGCTTCACGAGGTCACCCAGTGAGCACTGGGGACCGAGGAAGGACAGAGGAAGTGTTTAAGTGGCTGACAAGCAGTAGTGACTTTACCATCTCTGTGCCTGCATACTGCATGGAAGCCCCAAGATTAAGGTCCGAAGTTCTCGATGAAATTAATATTTTGTTAGCACACCCAGAAACATTTAGTCAGAACCCACTTTCACTTTTCAAAGGACAGGGACCTAGGGCTTGCAACTTAAAAGATCACTCGGAGAGCTGGACAGTTCCTCTGCCATCAGAGTCCATCTTCCAAACAAAAGTAGGTTCTTTTTTTGTTTCGGTTTTCTAGAAGCCGCTTTATTAAGAATAATTCACACACCAGAGTATCCATCCTTTTAAAGTGCACAGTTCAATGGCTTTTAGTAAAGTATATATGGATTTCTTGCAATCATCACAATTTAAAAAGTTCTATCACGCCAAAAGGAAACAAGGCACCCAGTTCCAGTCCAACCCATTTGCTCCTGACCGGCGCCCCCTCACCCTTTGTCAATAGCATTCCAGTAGTCACCAAATCAAGGTGACATAACCAAAACTATGTTTCTTTTAGGTTCATTTTGACAATTGTGTCAATCCATTTCATGTTGTTTTCTGAGAAAACCAGACAACCACTGTTGCTGTGTCTGTGTCCATTGTGGATACACCACATAGACAAGCCACAAAACCCAGTTGTGTGATCTATTGCCTTTTGTGTCTGACTTACTTAAATAAGTAACAAAGTTTCAGGATCCACCCAAGTTGTGAAATGTGCTTCATATTTTGTCAATTATCCCATTTCACAGACACCTCTCATTTTTCAATGTATCTGTAACTAGATAGTTTCTCCTTTTTCACTATTACGTAATGGTGTGATCAACAATCACATACCAGTTTTGGTGTGATCTTTTTAAGTACCTAGTAAGCAGTGTCTAGAGCTGTGCTGCTAGGGAAAATACAACTCTTTGAAGAACTAGGTCAATACGATGTGCCTGGAACCTAGAGAGAGGCAAGCCTGTAGATAGCAGCCCCCTGGTGCTACAGAAATTCAAAGGCAGGATGGGGATAGTTTGGGAATTCCTTCTCGAAGAGATGCTGTGGGCCATGAACTGTTTATAGCACAGGATGTGGACTGGCACAGGGAAGAGCGGGGCAGTTGGAGCTCTTGAGGTAGAAGGATGGCATGTGAAAGCTGAGACTTGGATGACAGTGTCAGTGCTGGACATCCTGTGCCACTTCATTGTGGCAATATCCTACAGCAATTTTAGGTGCATTCACTCCCAACTCTTAATGATCTAAGTTGCTGGATGGGGCTTCACTTTTGCTAATAATCATCATGTACACTCACTTTCCCTGCTCGTGGCCACAGGGAGCTCAGCCAACAGTTCTTCATGGACAGCTCTACAACCAGAGCCCCTACAGTTTTTAAAGGCACCTTGGGAATGCAGTTAAGCACCTGCTGCTGACTGGAAGGCCAATAGTCTGACCCCCACCAGCCATTCCACATGCGAGATTTGGCAGGGGGTGTCTGTCAAGACATGTTACATGCCATCAAGTTGGCATGGACTCATAGCTGAGACTCATGCTCTTAAAACTCTTGAGATGAAGCATCCCTGAGATGCTCAACAGGGTCTAGTTATTGACTTACAAAATGTCCTACCCCAAATCAAGGCCAGAGAAACAGTACATAATGTTAGGCTCCTTCGAGGAAGTTAACCTGTTGATGAAGAACATATGAATATAGCTCACTGGAGAATAAGACTCAAGTTATCAGATTCCAGGAGTCATTTTTGGACTGAACATTTTTATAATGGAGCTGTAACTAGAAGTGACATGAATGCTAAGACACAGCTCTCAAATCACGTCAGCACTGTAGCTGCATACCAGAGTCAGAACTGAGCACAGCTGACCCTCCAGGAGGTTTTCAGAGGCAGTTACATCACATGGGAGGAGACTGCCCAGTTTTCTCCCTCAGAGCAGCTGGTGACCTTGAACCATGTGTCTATGGGATTGCAGTGCAGCTTCTTACCAACAGACCACCAGAGGCATGAATGCTATGACACAGATCTCAAAGTACATGTAAACATTAAATGTGTCAGAAAAAAAAAATTTCACTTACCATCCACCTTTATATCCTATCTGCTCATGTATTTCACCAAGAGAGTAGACTGCTCTCCTTAAATTCTGGATTTCCACATCATTCTGATTAATCATTAATAGCAAGGCTGTATCATATAATTCTGAGGTTGATTAACAAAGTTCTATTTAAGAAGACTACAAAGATAGTAGTGGTGGCCTAACAATTCAGAAATTAATAGCAAAATTGACTTTTCATATGTAAACTCCTTTTTTTTATTTTTCAAGGATTTTTTAAATCAAAGTACCTTAGACAATGTATTTTCTAATATAGAGAAGGTCCCCAAATAAGCAAGCAAACACAATATATAGCCAATAGTAGGTTATACCAATTTACTTCATGAAAGGACAACATATTTTAGGCCTAGTATTTCAACAAAAACAATCTTTACAGAAAACCAAAGGCAACCATAGAGCATAATGGGCAAAATGTGCAAATATACTTTATAATGCAAGTTATTTCATAGCATTTTCAAGGTAGAACGTAGTAGTAGGGGAGGGTTCTACCTCCGTCGAGCAAACAAGTCTCCTGCAGGTACAGAGGATGCTAATGTACAAGGCACAACTTAGTGTCGATGCTCAAGTGTGTAACACTCATCTTCAGGTGACATATTTGAAGATATTAACAGGATGTCATGTTTGTATGTTATTATTTAATGAGACAGCAGCTCATTTCTAAAGCTTCATAAAGGATTACACTTAGAACGTGTGGACATGACACAATGCTCCCTGAACTTACAAGCCATCCCCTCTATAATCTGTATTTTTAAAAAATCTACATGTGTATGTATAGATATACACACACCCCACAAGCCCACATCACACACAAAAACTCCCCACAATCCAAGGAAGACCAACTCCTTATTAGCAAGGCTACCATTACAGTATTTCATGAGTGAGTTGTTTAAAAACGACATATTATTTACCAATTGTTTTGGTCAAACTTGATACAAAGACACTGTAATAGACAGTTTTGTTCTTCAAGGTAAAGACAATGCCTCGTTCAGTCTTCCCCTGAGACTGCACAGTGACAGGTGTTCAACAGGAAAGCCTGCCGCTCTTGAAGACAATGCTGAAATCCCCACACAAGGGGCAGCCCATCAGGAATCCATCAGAGCACAGCCATGTCCACTCGGTCCCGGCCCTCTGGGCTCTCCGCGGTCTTACCACTCAGTGCCCATCCCTGAGAGTCAGTAAGAGTCTGTGGGCTTTCACTTTTTAATAAAGTAAATATGCTTTACTTTGATAACAATATCGAAGAATTCCATTTCCCCACAATATAAAATAGGCCTTATTTCACTTTAAAGGGGGAGGGGGGAAGAAATGGTAAGTGCTCTTTTGTAAAGACCACCATTTATAAAAACTCTAATTCTGTGTCTCTGAATCAGTTTTAATCTGCATTTCACTGGGTCATTTTTCTCATCTGTCATCCATGTAGCAGTCGGTTCCTCAGAGCCCATTACCTGATCATTGTGTTAATAGGAGCACTTAATAGAGAATGGAGAACAATACAATAGAAAACTTAAGGGACCTTTGGAGTGAGATCTAGATATCCCTGTGGCAAAGAGAGTTTTAAAACGGGAAATCATCTGGATGCCATCCAAGAAAGGCAAAAACATTTTGACGAAAGAATACATCTGGTAAACCTCCTCCTTGTTATCTTTGGTTTAGCCTTCCTGGCCAAAATCCTCTGTAAACTTCTTCAACTTCAATAAATCATGTTCATTTACAGTGGGCTTTGTGCTAGAGAGTGACCGTAACATGTCCGACTGTCAAGGGGCAAAGAGAGAGAAGTGTTAATATTCATGAAACAAAAAGTCTGCACATTATTACAGGTAATGCAAGTATGGTTATCTAATTTTAACTAAAATTAAATATACATATTTACAGTATGCCAAAGGTCAAAGACCATAGAGATGCTTTCTTTCTAAAACCTCCTAGGTGGCTCAGCAGTTAAACACTAGGCAGCGAACTGAAAGGTTGGGTGTTCAAGCCTACCTCCTTACAACACCCTCCCTGCTCCACTGGCTTCAAGGAAGAAAGTCTTGGGGACCTGCCCCTCTAAACATCACAGTCTAAAAATCCTACAGGGCAGCAGGCCTACTCTGCCCGGAGAGACAGACTCTGTGAGTCAGGATGGATTCACAGTACCTCCCAAGAAGAGGATTCTTTCAGAAGGTTATCCTTGGTTATGTCCTGATGAAAAGCAGAAGCACAATCCTCCCTGTCTAAGAATCCAGGCCTTCCAAAACCCACTCCTGTCTATGTTCCTGACTAATTTCCTTAAGTCTTTTGCAGGGTCATTCACCAGAATGTCCTCTAGGAAAGAGCAACTAAGGAGATTTCAGAACTGTTGTTGTGTACTGTCAAGCTGGAACCAACCCGCAGCTGACCCTCCAGCAGGTTTTCAGACGTCGTTAACTGAAGTGGAGTAGACTGCCTGTCCCTCTCCCACAGAGCAGCTGGTGTATTCAAACTGTGTACCTTTGCCTTGGCAGCGAGATTCTTTACCACTAAGCTACCAGAACTCAATCCTTTAGTAAAAAGAAATTAACTACATTTTTTAACTACTTGAAATTAAATCAAGATGGTGCTATCAAGATTCATTTAAAACAACCCAACCAAATTCCAAGACCTTTGTCTTATACTGTAAGAAAAAGGAACAAAAGAAAAACTCTACATTACAGCAAATTCTTCAAAGGCACAAAGAGTATTAAATTGTTCACTGAGGACTGAATAAAAACAGATTTCCAATTAACTTCTCAAACATTATCATTAACAAACCCAAGTTTACCTTTGCACAGATCTACACACACACACGTGCATACAAACTGCCTGCCTTTGCACTAGCTTCAACTCTTTAGCCACAGGCCATTACTCCAACATAAACTATGAAAATTCAACTTCCAGTAATAAATTCTGTGGTACAGAATTTCATGTATTTTTAAAGCAGTGTATGATTTTAATTCTATAGTGTCTGGAGAATTCTGACACAGATGCATCTGAGTTAGAGAGACTCGTATGTAGGACCATCTGTTCTCATATGCATTACCGATAACAGCATTTGGCAGTGTATGACTGGCTGATGTTACCACTCTCCAACGTTCAATGTTATAACTTACTGCTGAAAACCCTGCTGGGTTTCTAAAGATCTTGGTAACAAAAGCAGTAAAAGCTGACATAAAAGCAAGAAAAGCTGACATAAAAACAAGGTATTCTACTTAGCAGAACCCATTTACAATGGAGTCAATAGAATGGACTGTGTGTAGATATTGAAAATGTAAAAATATTTGGAATTCAGGGCAAACAAAACAACTTTTCCGAAGCCTACTTTTTAGTATAACCTTAATATTGACTTATGGAGTATAAACAAGCATTTCAGATAATATACCGCTCAAATTTCAAATTTTACCATCTAGAAGAAAAACATCACTTTAAGATAAGAAACCTGTCTTGAACAGCTTTTTAATATTAAAATGTTATAAAAATATATTTTAATATAATTATATTTTATACTTTAAATTAAATACACTTATTTTTGTGAGTAAAATTACAGAAGTATGCACAATCATAGTGTTTCCAGAATAATCATAGTTATTTGTCATACTCTTTAATCTGGAAAGAGTACTTTGAAATAAAAATATTTTCATTTGGGAGATTATAAAGTATAAGACTTTGAACTTTTTTCTTAAAGGAAAATAAAGTTTCGAACCATGCAAACAACTGGCTCCAAAAGCTTATCTCCTGGGACATCCATCCACGTCATTTCAATGGCACCAGGGTCCCCCGGGGAGCAAGGCGTCAACAGGTCATCTATGATCTTGTCAGGATCTGCTCGTGAAGGCCCGCGAGCCTGGAACAAGAATCATGCCAAATATTGATCAGAGCCAATGATGATATAGGTCACTATCACAAAAGCAGACCAATCTATTAATATTTTGTTAGAACTCCTAGAAGCAGAATGGAATTTATAACCCAAACCCGGTTATCTCTGGGTGACATGATGGATTTTGGTTTTCATTCTTTTTTCTTCTTTTAAAAATTTTATTATTTTTTGTCCATGTACCATCAAATTGGTTCTGAATGGTACAGGAGGAGATTGCCCCTCCTTCTCCAGCAGAGCTTCTGGTGAATTCGAACCGTGTACCTCTGGGATTGCAGTGCAGCTTCTGGCCATTTGGCCACCAGAGCTCCTTTATTTTCATTCTTTCCTTGATGCTTATTTATGGTCTTGAAATGTTCTACAATAAATTATTGATATGCTCATAGAAGAAAATCAGTTGAAAAACAAACAAAAACCAAGCCGTTACCTATGGCCAAGACTTGTCTCCAATGCCCTACCGTGTAGTAATAAACCTGAGACACCAAAAATGGATATACCTGATAATGTTTTAACTCTCTCTTCTTCACAACTGAAAACTTCTGTGATACACTGGGGCTCTACTGTGGTATTACCAAATCTTTTTATCTCTTTCAACAAAAACGTGTTCAAATGTAAGAGCAAATACCCAATGCAATTTCAGTGCCTTTTTGATTTATAACGAATTTAAAGATAGAAAAATTTTAACATAATCCAGCTAAAGACCCTTTTGCGACAAGTACCAGGCCCAACCACCGCACTGGCACTGAGCGGCTTCTGAGGCGGGGCATCCTGTGGAAGGAGAATGCTCATCTCTGTCCCCCGGAGCAGCTGTTCAACTGCCAACTTTTCAGGGAGCAGCTCACCACACAGCACACTACACCATCGGGGCTCCTTTGATGACACTGAGGCACGTACAAATAGTTAGACTGCACGTCTTTGGTAACAAACTGGTGCATTTTCTCTTCTAATAAGGCGTCCTAGTGGTGCAATGGCTAGAGCACTCAGCTGCTAATCAAAGGGTCATCAGCCACCCTGCAGGAGGAAAGAGGAGGTGATCTACAGAGAAAATCAAGAGTCCTGGAAGCCCCACGGGCCAGCTACGTGAGGAGTCGGAAACCTCAGCTGTCGGCGGGTTCATAAATGTGCTTCATTCTCGGGAATGCAGAGGATGTAGAGACAGTGAAGAACTTCGCTCTCGTAATTTTCACAGCGTGGTGAGCTGTCCGAGCACTGGACTGTGAGCAAGGATATCCTACTTACTCTAACGGCAGCTTTACAACACTATGTTTAAGTCACTTAATTTACGTAACATATCCACGGAACAATGCTTCAACAATCATTTCAGAGAAAACCTGAAAATGTTTTATGATTATTAACGAATAAAATTTAGTGTAAGAGTTTCTTTTCAATGAAAAAAAGAAGTACTTCTACCGTGCAGCCACGTACTGTGCAGACACACTGTACTGGAACCATTGCTACCAGCATTTCAAGGGCAGCCAACAATGGCTGAAGACTGACTTCAACAGGACAGGGAAGGTCACCTGCCTTTTTAAAATGTGTAGCAGACTGCACTTTTCTAACAGGCTGCATCAGGGCGTCCCGCACAATGATGCTGATGTCCGCCCCCGAATAGCCGTCTGTTTTCTTGCCCAGGTCTCGGAAATCCGCTTCTGTCAGACTGTTCTGCGTGGTCCCTAAGTGCAGTTTAAACATGGCAGCTCTTGCGTGGGCCTCGGGCAAAGGAATATAAATCCGCTTCTCAAACCTGAAAGTAAAAGAGAAAATGTGTCAAGCAATGGTGGGCATAGTTCAATGCTGATTAATTTTATAAAATATAATGAATGGGAATGATTATATGAAACACAATGGATATGAACTTTGTAAGCAAAACAATATATTTATTTTTAATAGAAATTAAAAAGCAGTATTTATGTGCTGTGTATCTTAGTTTTATTTATATGTATCTGCTTTATTTTAAACTTAGGATACTTCCAAGAATAAAGAAGGCAATCAAGTATTCTCAGTTCATAAAGTGCATGGTAGATGCGGTGGTAGACCTCTTGTGTTCTATGCGGGAGGCCCGGGCTCTTCCCAACCCAGGCACCTTCCACTCCCCAGTGGGGACTTTCAGGAGGTAGAGGCCTAGCAGTCCGCTTCAAAACTCATTCAATGAAAACCAACCGGTTGCACGGTCTGCTGTGCTGAGGGCGCCCTGTTTAAGGGCTGGCTGGACAGCAGCCGACAACAAGGTATAAAGCTCAATTTTGACAATTAAACAGGTCCGTGGCTGTCAGAGCTGAACACATTATTATTTAAGTTGCATTAAATGGCAAAGTCCAAGGAACACTACCAACCAACCAACCAACCAAGATGCCCAAGAACCAAAATGAAGTGGTCTGGCCTTCTTCATGTTTCTTGGCCCCATTATGTGTCCACCTAGAATTAAGGCATTGAAATGACATATCCTACAAGTTACTCTGGCGTGGAGAACTTAACTCTGAACTCTGCTCAAGGCACCACATGCAACACCACACCATCAGGGCTCCCGAAGGTAAGCACTGGTGACATGTTTCTCTAATACTGTAAACAAACAGCCACCCCCAAGGCAGAAGTACTTCAGAAATACCCTGAAAGCTCAGAATGCCTCCTCATTAAACATGAGAATGAACAGACTTTGAACATTCACCCTTAGGAACAAGACGAGCCCCGAGCCATCCTACCTTCGCCTAATGGCAGAGTCCAGAACCCAGGGTATGTTTGTAGCTCCCAGGACCAAAATTCCATCGTTGTCCACACCAACCCCTGCACAGAAATGGGCAGCGGTCAGCCGGGGGTGTGTGTGTGGGGTGTGGTCACTGTGGTGTTCTCTAAACCACACCCACACATTCTGTGGTGCTGTAATGTTGAAGCAGCTGCATCTTGAAAACACTACTTGACCAAACATTACATTACTAAGGTAAGTGTTCAGACCGTGGAGGCATATGTGATATTCTTTCCTAGGTGCTTCCTAAAAGATTTCATCCGAGGTCTAGGTGCCCTCCTGACGCTGTTCCTGGAGCGTTGCATGTATGTGATTCTTTTTACCATTTAGCCCTGTGAGTGCTACCAGACCTTATCAGGGTGGCACAACTCTGTGTGCACGGGGAGAGAACTGGAATGAATAAAGATGATGGGGCGGCCACACAGCCACACGCGCTTCTGCAGGGCTGTCCTCCATGGCTGCTGGGCCACCAGGGCCAGTGCACACAGGGGTGCTCAGAAGCGAGCCACACTACCTTGCATTTGAACCAGGAACTCGGTCTTGATTCTGCGTGCGGCTTCACTTTCATTTTCACTTCGTGAGCCACAAAGGGAGTCAATTTCATCGATGAAGATAATGGAAGGTTTGTTCTCTCTGGCGAGTTGGAATAAGTTCTTAACAAGTCTGGAAAATAAAAGCATTCAAGTTCTAAACAAGAAAAAAATGATAAAACCCCCCAGTCTCAAAGAAAAAACGGAAGCAACGTGACAGACTGCTATTACAAGAACTCCAGTCACACGCCAGGGTTCTGGCTCAGTTCTTCCCGCCTGCCAGCGGTTCTCCAAGAAATCCATTTTCTAAACTAAGAGCTGATCTGACAAGGACATGAGTAGACATGTCACTTCCCTGGATGGCTGTTAAAGGTGTAAGACAACTATTATTGTAGTACCTGGTTATTTAAATACTGAAAAACTGTATTAAAAAAATACCAAATAATTTCTCATTTTCTTTACTATCCTAACTTTTAAATACTTGCCTATTTCTCAACCATAATGTTTTAGAAAACTATCAGACTGAAAAACCCCAAAATGTTAAAAAAAAATCAATTTGTCACTTACTTTTCACTTTCACCTAACCACTTAGAAACAAGGTCAGAGGATGATATTGAAAAAAATGTTGAGTTGTTTGCTTCTGTTGCTACAGCTTTGGCTAAATAGGATTTTCCTGTTCCAGGCGGCCCAAATAACAGGATGCCCCTCCAAGGCGTTCTCTTGCCTGAAATTCGTGCAGTAGAAAAGAACGTTGAGAATGTCAGTCACGTAGACAACATCCGCACTGAAGAACACTATGGAGAGGTTATTAGACAAAACTAACGGTCAGCATAAAAGTCACATTTAAGCAACAATCACTCTATGGCAAACAGGCCTTCAATCTTTTTTTTTCTTTGGGGTTTCTATGGAGACACCTCTGGTGGCCTAGTGGTAAGAAGCTGTGCTGCAAATCCAAAGGCATGTAGTTCAAATCCACCAGCTGCTCCAAAGGAGAAGGATGGGCAATCTCTTCCTGTGTTGATTTAGTGACTGTGAAAACCTGTTGGAGGGTCAGATGTGGGTTGGTTCTGACTCAACGGCATACAGCAACATCATCAGTGACAACTTAGTCTAAAGTGTGTCCCATGATGGACAGGGGAAGGAATGGTTAGGACGGACATGCTGCTCACTTGAGCCCCACCAAAGAGGGTCAGCACTTCTCTCCAAACAGGACAAAGAGCTGGCCTCTTCCACCAGAGAAGAGAGACGTAGCTCACGATTCTGCCACTTTGAGAAAATGGAAAGCCTTTTACAAAACTACTACATGCACATTGTCAAACTCAAGTGAACAGGATTCTCACCACAGAAAAGGTTAAAAAAACAAATCATGCATAATCTTATCTACTTGGCATACATTAACGTTCTCATTTCCAACTATCTAGACTTACTTCTCAGCACTTACATTTCTGTAACAAAATGTGATTCATAATTTTATAATGTTTTCTGCTTTCTTATTTTCATATGCTAAGGACATTTCCCATGTCCAAAAATTTGCAGGTGGACCTATGCTTCAACTTTTAATGCTCACACACAGCATTGTAGGGTATGATAGTGAAATTAATTTCCCTAGTCTCTACCGGCCAATTCCATTTTGCACTGGGCTGAAATCAAAAGTTGAGTAGTTCAAATCCACTGGACAGTCTGTGGGAGAAAGCCAGGCAGTTTCTTCCTGTGAAGATTTATACCTTGGAAACCTGGTGGAGCACTGCTGTAAATCAGAATAACTTGACAGCAGGGAGTCTGGTTTAGTTTCTGTGTGTGTGTGTGTGTGTGTGTGTGTGTACGAATCCAATCATGGCTTCTGAACCAGAATCCACAGCTGACGTTCTGGTCGAGTTTTGGAGGCTAATAAAGGGCACGGGTGGAGACTGTCCATCTTTTTCTCACAAAGTCACTGGTGGAGGCAAAGCCCCAGAGAGGTGTCACCTCTGGCTTAGCAGCACACCACCCCCTGTCCCTGACTCCCTGTGTGAACATGTAAACAAAACCCAACAGACATCTTTGTGTGACAATCACAATCTACAACAGTAACCCAAGAACGTGGCAGACAAGATTTCACAGTGTTTGACCTCAGTCATCTAAGTGCCTTTGAAAAATCACCAGATGACACAACCTAAGAGTCCCCTCACCTGTAAAAAGATGCGGGAACTTGATGGGCAGGATCACAGCCTCTTTCAGGGCTTCTTTGGCCCCTTCGAGACCAGCAACGTCGCTCCACTTTACGTTCGGTCGCTCTATGACAATGGCCCCTACGAGAAGCATGCGATCCAGAAGTTAAGGAGGTTGGTTTGTCACAATGAGAAGCCAACATGCAATGACAGGCTAACGCAAGGTGAATAAAAGCGTCTGCAAGAGCTTTAGGAGTCAAGAGATTCCGTTAATCGTGTGATAAGGACATGGCTGCTGGCGGGCGAGGGGCAGTGCTGGATGACCTGGCGTGCAGGATACTCAGCCTTTCCACACTAGTGACAGGAGGCGGTCACAGTGAGACTCAGGGGGCAGAATGATGTCGGCGCGCTAGAAAGCCACCAAACATTACACAGACTGCCTGCCTTTAACAGGGAGTCTCCGGGGTCAGAAGCCCCTATCAATTGGCCTGACCCAATCACCCTCCTTTTCATCAAAAGAAAAGGGCTAACTACTCTCCTTCAGAAAAGTAAATAAGCTCCACTGAAGACAGATTCAGGTAGAGAAAGGAAGCACAATGGCTATTATGTTCCATTGCTAAGCAAAAGGTCAGTGCTTCGAATCTACACAGGGTTCCTTCCCTGTAGGAAACAGACCTGGCAAGTGGCTTCAGCGGAGACTACTCTCACACACACTGAAGGGCCCTTCTCCTGTGTCATATGGGGCCACTGTGAGTCAGCGTAACCTGACGGCAACAACCAGCAACAACACAGATTATCAGACACGGCTTAAACGCTGGTAAAATGCTAAAAAGGAGGGATTGTAGGAAAATAGAACTGAAACATTTGGATGGCATAATTACAGATATTTACATTTGAGTATACTCTTACTTAACAAAAGCTACTGTATAGCAAAATGAGCTTCACAGAACACACAAATCATCAACTCTTTCTAAATTCTAACAATCAAGTATCACACATAAGTGCCATGACTTAAACAAAAGTAGATGATTTAAAATACTGTTTCATAAAAAAAGAGCGGAAAGTGGAAAAAGGGCATTACATGGTGAAAACCATTAACAAACCATTAAATGAGAAGATGAATTAAAAAAAGATTTAAAAAAAGATTCCAAATGTGAAAACTGAAGACATCTTTCATATTCTATTCTTAGCCCGATATTTCAAACTGATTCCACAATCCAATGTTCACGGGTTTCAAATCTTCAACAGTGTATTTAAACAAAAATTTCATCCTGAAATTTGCTCTTCCTCAAAACTGATGATGCAATGTCATTCTTACTGTGGAGAATGAAGAGGTAGAAAGCAGATCTGGCCGCATGGAAGGCCATGTGGCTCAGGCCTCTAGTCACCCGGAAAAGACAAGTGAGAAGCCGGTGTGAGCTGGTCCTGCTTGGACAGCGGGTGCTAAGGGGCAGCTCCACGCCCTGCCCTCGGACTGCAGCATCGGGAAATGCTCTCCAGTCTCACCTGCACTGTTTCCACACTACGGTCCTGACTGTGGGGGCCTCATTACTGTACGCTGAGCAAACCATTCGAGAAGGTGGACTCTATGGAGAAGCACGTGATAGTAGGATCACAGGAAGACTCCTCAACAACCTGCACTACGCAGGTGACACACCTTGCTTGCTCAAAGTAAGGAGGACTAAAGCGCATTACTGCAGAAAATCAAAGACCACAGCCTATGGTATGGATTACATCTTAACATCAAGAAAACAAAAAACCTTACCAATGAACTAATAAGCAACGTCATGATAAATGGAGAAAAGATTGAAACTGTCAACTTGTTCATCTTATGTGATCCATTATCATCACCCTTGTTAGTTAGGAGATTAGGAGAAGTACAGCACTGGGAAAGTCTGCAGTCAGGGACCTCTCCAAAGTCCTGAAGAGCAATGATGTCAGTTTAAAAGGCCACGATGCACCTGATTCAAGGTATGGACTTTTCAACCACTTGCTCTGCTTCTGAGAGCGGGACAATGAACAAGGATGGCAGCAAAGAGCTTGTGCCTTTGTGTTGGAGAAGAGTACGCAGTATCCCACAGACTGACTGCCAAAAGAGCAAACAAGTATGTCCTGGAGAAAGTGCAGCCAGGACGGTGAAGCTTCATCTCAACTCCGGCGGGCATGGTGCTAGGAAAGGTGATTACTTGGAAAGGTGCCGAGTCAGTGAAAGAGAGAAGACAGTCAACAAGATGAACTGACACAGTGATTGCAGACACAGGGTCAAGTGTGTCCGAGACAAGGATGGCACAGCACAGGGAATGGATCAGATCCACTGTTCACAGGGTCATTATGAGTCATACTGGACACCTAGTAACAGGTACTGTGTTCTCCTATCGTCACAGCAGGAGGGTCGGCAAGACTCAAATACGACCAAAACGAAGAGCCCGGTACAGGAGAGGTAAGGCCTGGCCAAGCCCGTCTGAGCTTACAGCAGGGAACTCCTCAACTGTGCAGTTTCCAACGACTCAGATGAACTAAATGCACGTAACTGAGGATGGAGCATAAAATACAGTGTGAAAAATCACTGACTAACAAACTGAAGAACACTCAAATCAGAGCATTTCTAGAAGCCAGAAGTTCATCATGTGCCTTCTTAAGTTGAATAAGAGCTACCCTTTACTGAACCCCTAGAATTTGAGACTCTGCCCACGAGGCCAGCACAGCTCCCTCTCAAACATCAAGAAACGATTTTATATTGTGATTAATTTCTTAACAGCCCTGAATGGAAGGAAAGTGTTACTTTCCATTTCAGAGATGGGGACTCAGCTTCAAGAAGGCAGGGAGCATGTCAAAGATGAGGTCAATCATAAGCCCTGGATCCTAGAGTGAACCCAGAGGTGATGGAGCCAACATCTGTGTCCTTTTCATTCTGCTATTCCACTCAGGCAGAGGAGACTAAAAGGGGCCTTCACAGGTGAGGAGGGTGAAAACGAAGAGCTTCAAGAGAGAAATGGAGAACAGAAATAGGAGAAGAGCAGAGGAGACAAGGAAATAAATGAGTGAAGCAGCTACAGCAACAACAGTGACAGGGCCAAGTGTGAGTCCTAACTCCTGCCCAATTCAACAGCTGATAGAATAAGTATCATCGACAGATCCAGTAGCGTAAATGTTACTTTCTGTAAGAGGAGAAATGTTACAAAACCAAAAGGCAACAAGCTGGCTGAGAAGCTTTTTAAAGGAAATGTGAAACCAAACATTACTTTTGTTACATGAGAGAAACCACAAAATCACCATCTGCCAGACCACTGCGACTCTACCCCACCGAACCTGTTCTCAGAAAGGCCTGGGACCAAAGGCCAGGGTGTGCGCTGTTCACAGTGACCTTCCAGAGGGAGAGGTAGGGGGTTTCAAGATAAAACGCACTGTTTTAGGAATAATAACTTACAGGGTCACCTCCATGAATTTAGTAAGCCTCATCATCAAAATGAAAAAGAGGAAAATCACAAAGTCTCAGAAAACACTAAAATAACAGTAAGAAATGCAATAAGCAAAATAACCCAGCACAAAAGAGAGAAGTCAGCAGGCAACTCCACAACCACGCAACGCTGCGTGGCACAGGTGCACTGAGAGGCTGTTATGCTCAGCAAAGCAAGGGTCTTCCAAAAGGCCCGGTGAGGTCGAAAAGCTGAGGGAAGGCTTACACACAGGGCCACCTGGTTTTGGATGGTGATTAGGAGAGGAAGGAGGTGGTGGGGAGTAAAACTTAATGGAGAAGGTGGATAAAAGGAAAGGCAATATACATATGATAAACTGAGGAGACACTGTATTAAATATATTGATCTATTGTAATTAATACTATAAAATGTGCATGCATGACTGAATGAAAAATTGGTGTAATCTGTAAACTCCTACAAACACAAAAAACCTCAAACCATATAAGCAGTGCACTATGAATCTTTGCAGCAAGGTAATAATTTAAAAGTAAGATTTAAAGCAACCTTGAAGTTGGTTCTGCAGTTTCTTTTTCTCAGGATCATCGGATTCTCCTTCCCCATCACTGTCATTCCTAATGAAAAGAACGTGACACGTTGAAATGATCACTCACTCCTCACAAATGAGTAAGGCAAAGGCAGAAGAACTTATTAACCTCAAATACTTACGGCAAAATGAGACATTCGCATGAAAAGTTACCCTCGAAGAACATATTAAATATAATGACAGGCAGGCATGTCAGCCACCATTACTAAATCATAAACACGAAAGGACAAAAAGAACAGAAGGAATGAAGTCAGGGGCAGGCTCTGCATTCCCCCGCACACCCCGTATGTATGAACTTACAAACATCAGCCTTACATCTCACTCAGCAAAGGACTTAAGAAGAATTACAGAAGATTCAGAAGTAACAACACAGCATCAGGACCAGGCAAAATATAAATTGCGATGAGCGCCTATAACTGAAGGAAAAACTTGAACACTTAGTATCAGAGACACAAATATCTACAATCCTTGGTTTCGGGTTTAGATGGCTGAGGCTTCCTGATGAATATGAAACCGCCTCAAACGGGCTGATGAACACAGGTCCTTCCTGGCTAGGAGTGCCCCAAGTTCAAGGATGTGGCAACAAGGCGAGCTCAGCAGCCCTGGGCCGAACAAGGTCAACACAGAGTAACCTGTGTTCAGTTGTGGGATTAGCAGATGACTGCCTGTATAGCAGCCCTTACAAACGCTGCTGTAGGACTCGTTTACCAGGAAGATGATCACCACACACGTGGCATCATACTGTATTTTCCTAAAGGCAGATTAAAAAGCATGACAGATTGGTATATGAACATGGGCTTGCTAGGAGGGTGGGGTTATAGGGATCAGGTAACGCACTAGGCAATTTCTTGTTCTGAAAGGCTTTTTCTGAAAAAGCAGCCCTTCCTGAGCTCACTTGCAGGTGGAGATCCACATGAGGTGAAGGTCCCACCTATCAGCGTGGGGTGTATGCTACTTAGAAGACGTTGAGTGTGGAGAAAGCACGGCTGGGTGGAGGTCAGTCCCAGCATCCTAAGTGCTTGGTGGGTAGCTGACAGTAGTGGGGCCACTACCAGAACACCCCAAGAGGGCTGCTGGGCATTCTTCCAGCTGAATGCACTCCTGGCTTGATGTTTTAGTAACCAATAATACCTCATGGTAAATCTCTTTTTGAGCCTGGCTGTGGCATGGCCTCCCAGTACAGAACTGTCACCGATGAATGCCCATCAGACCCCTGAAGGGGCTTCAGCAAGACCAGAGGCACTTCCAGGGGCAGGGACAAGACAGGCCTCTGCGGCAGGAGCGTCTTGGGAGGAGTCGAGTTCTTGGCAGCCAAAGCCAGCAGCATCTCCCTGCCACCTTCAGAATGGGAGCACCAATCTTCTGATAAACACCTGAGCTTCCAGACAGGAAACCAGGGGCAGCTCAATCTATGCTGAAATGCGGTGTCTGACTTTGCTGGCCAGTACTTTCTGTACAAAAGAAAGTGTTTCTAGATGTCACTGGAAACCACCTGATCCAAGTACATATTCTGACTTAGAGATTATAAAGCCTTAAATTTAGGTGGTCAACATTTTCCAAATAGTCTGAGGCAGCCAGTTAATTCTGGTCTTACAGTCTTCAAATGCTTTGAATGGTCTGTAGTGGCAGCCGTGATGTCCGCAAAGCACTTCATCCCTGATGACCAGAGGGGACCACCTCGGTATCCTGTGCAGCAGCATGGTCCGAGCTAGGGGACCACACGCCCCATAGCTAGAAGAACCTTCCCCCAAACACAAGCAGGCCGATCACCACAGCCCAAACTGTCATGACTGGAACCTGCTACCTGGAGCCACGTCCAGTGGCAGTTAGAACAGTCACAGAGGTTCTGGCCAGAGTCCTAAGGAGAATCCCGGGCCTGGCACAGAGCTCAGAGCTTGCTTGGCATGTGTGTATTAGTCGATGAATAACTGAATTTTGCATCTGTAAGTGATGTATCCCTGAACTAGGCAGTATTAACAATAAAATGGGTTCTGATGTCATTATAAAGTGATGTCTGCTATGACGGAGATGCAAATCTTCACTGAAGGACGTGGCGGAGATTCGAACCTGTCAGAAATGGAGTTATTTTTCACACTGCTCCACGGGTGGTGTTCACCAAGAGTCCCACTAGTCTAAAGGCCAATTCACAGATAGCTACCATAATCTTAACTTCAGCGTTACCTTATGGCCTGGGGTGAAATGTTTTGCCTTTCTATAGCAAAACCATGAGAGCTTTTTGGACTCTATAATCCCCTATGCATAAACTGTTGTTGTTAGGTGCCATCAAGTCGAGAATGAATCATAGCAATCCTATGAACAACGGATGTGAACCCTGTCCTTTCCTGTTCCATCTTCACACTTCCTGACACATTAAAGCCCAGTGCAGCAGTCACCTTGTCAATTCACCTGCTGGAGGGTCTTCCTTTCCTTTGCTGACCCTTTACCCTTCTGAGCATCAAATCCTTCTCTAAGGAATAGCCTCTCCTAACAACCTGCCCGCAGTATGTGAGGCAAAGCGCTCATGAAAAAGCTATGAACAGCAGAGGAACATGGACAATTTAAACTAGTAGTCAGCAACCTTCTATAAAAGACCAGAGACCACACATTCTAGTTTTGTGGGGTAAACAGCAGATACTGAAACTCCTCTGCCATCATAGCAAGGAAGCTGCCACACATGACAGGTAAACACCTGGCTGAGGCATGGTTCCAATAAAACTTTCATATAAAAACAGAAAACTGGGAAGATTAGCCCTTGGGCCACACTTGCTGACTTCTAGTTTCAACACTGGAAATTTATTTCACTAATTAAGAATGAACAAATACAATCGGATCTAATGTCGTAAAGCACATACCCCTTTTCCTCGCCTGAACTCGGCTGGCCCTCTTTCACTGGCTTATGCGGCTGCTTCTCCTTCTTTTTCAGGTACTCCTTCAGCTTTTCCGCTCTGTCCAGGTACTCCGTGCACTTGGCCCGGATGCTCTGCTTGGCTTTATCACCCTGGGCCTCATCTGTTGGGGGAAAGGGGAGAGGTTTCCATGAGCACTCTACTTGTGAAAGGTGGACACTCTTTAGCTCATGATAACCACTGATAATCAACACATTTCTACTAGAAGGGCCACAGGCGAAGAGTGTGTGTCAAAAGTAATCTTAGCTTAATTGAAGTCTGCTTGTCTTACACAAAACCAGCAATAAGCAGACCTAAAAGCCTTGTGCTGTCAGGTTGACTGACTCACACCATGTTTTTACAACAGTGCACGAACTGTCCATATGGTTTCCAAGGCAGGAAATCTTTATGGGAGCAGATGGCTGCATCCTTCTCCCATGGAGTGGCTGGTGGTTTGAACTGGCAACCTTTGGTTCAGTGTCAAGTGCTTTAATCATTGCACTACCAAGGCTCCTCATAACAAAGGTTAACAGCAGTAAATCATTATTAATTATTTCCATCAATGTCTGTCTAGGTTTATTTCACAGCATGTACAAAGTGGAGAAACTCCGTAACACTGTGTCTACCACCAACGCAGCTGGGGCGCTAATCAGAGGTAGATTTGAGCAGTAGCTGCCCAGGACCAGCCCCACAGCTCCAGGAAAATCACCAACTTACCACCTGTGATTCGGCTTTTATCTAGTTTCGACAGAAAACCTCAGAGAGAAATCTGACATGATCTATCTGCTAAACTTTCTTTTTAAGCTTTACAAGAAATATGTCCCTTTTGCACAGAAAGCTCTAAATTCACAGTTCAGTGTCAATGAGGTTTAACACCGGCGAGGGCAGGGGCTGTCACTCACTCTTTGCTCACTGCTTCTTCCTTGGAGCCGAGGGGAGTGCCTGGCACATAGCAGCACGCAATGCACACAGGTAAAGATGCACATAAGATGTGTGCCATGCTATCTGTAAACCAGAATAGTCTCAAACAGCTCCTGAAAATCATGACCAAGTTCAAATTACATACTCGGAGCCCATCACTAGTAAAAGGAGCTGGCACTGGAAGGAAGAAGACTGGTTGGCACCCAGAGTTAAATGTGAGCCAAGCCTGAAAACATAAAAGTCACAGGAAAGGGGGAATTTTTGTGGATAGATGGCCTAGAATTTTCAGGCACGCTACCACGATTCCTATGGAAGGACCAGAACCTCTCCCCGCAGGGTGTGTACGTGTGGAGCACGGGGTGTGTAACAGAGGGGTGTGTAGGTGTGTAGCAGCGGGGTGTGTAGGTGTGTAGCACGGGGTGTGTAGCAGCGGGGTGTGTAGGTGTGTAGCATGGGGTGTGTAGCAGCGGGGTGTGTAGCACGGGGTGTGTAGCAGCATGGTGTGTAGCAGCAGGGTGTGTAGGTGTGTAGCAGCGGGGTGTGTAGGTGTGTAGCAGCGGGGTGTGTAGGTGTGTA